AATATTGGTGTTTGTATTGTTTTCTCATTCTCAATTTAATGTTATTGCATAGGTATTAAATTGCCGATAAAAGACCCAATATGCAAGGGAGAGGATCCTGCCTCTAGTGACCACACACACACACACATATATATATACTAATAATAATAACAATAAAACCTTCTGTTCATATTGGTACTATATTATTATTACATGAGTTATTTTGGAGTTCACAATATCTTCTGAAATATTAATTTAAATTTAGCTAAAAGAAATCAATAACAATCCCCTTTTAATTGTTTAATAATTCAATTTAGTATTTAATTCTAAATATATTAAGTCATAATCAATGTGTTTAGTAATTTTTTTTTTTTTAAATTCACATATAAGTAATAATTCAACTTGTCTGGGATAAAAATTTGTGTGTGATTTCACTTATTACTAAATACTTAAAACACTTAAAATTCAATTCAAGTGTTAAAGAAATTATCAATTTATACTTACTATAAGAAAAATAAAAAATCTCTACTTATAATTAATATTAAGAAGTTTAGTATTTAAAATCTAACCTTAAAATTTTTAATACTTAACTTCTAATTTTATCAAATAGATTAGGAGTACACTCAAACTATGTACTAAAAATATCAGTGTGTTACTTTCAGGGACAAAACAGTGTTACCAGTGATTTGGGAGATAAGTCTTTGAGGTCTTACTTTAGAACTGTACTTCTGACTTAAATAATATGTGTATTATGAGGTCGGTGCTCTAAAAAAAAAAAATAATTAAATAAATAAATAATATCACAATATTTGCCCAAAAAGTTTAGGAAAAGGACGGAAAGAGCCAATTATATCGAAATTTATATCTTTTTAATGAGTTTTTTTTTGGTCAGATTAGAGTTCGTGAATGTTAATTCTAAAAAACATATAAAATTGGTCTCACAAAACTAAACTAAGAAGACCCAAATTTAATCCTTGATTGGGCTTTATTTATTAATAAAATAAAAAATGTAAGGTTACAAAAAAAAAAAAAAAAAAAACCCCAATAATTGGAGTATGAATCTAATTTCCAGCCAAACATACCCAATCTACCCTGATATGGTAAAGTTGAAATCTTTAACTTGGAGCCACACCCGCCCAACCTACCCTGATATGGTAAGGTTTGAAATCTAAGTAATTTGGAACCCCAATGCTCTTTTCTTATTTTGTCCTCATTCTTGATGAATGTACAATCTATATTTAACTACCACCAAAAGTCTCCCTTAGCTTTCCGCTACTTGCGAATTTGTTCTTTTATTTTCGATTAAATATTGGTGTTTGTATTGTTTTCTCATTCTCAATTTAATGTTATTGCATAGGTGTTAAATTGTCGATAAAAGACCCAATATGCAAGGGAGAGGATCCTGCCTCTAGTGACGACACACACACACATATATATATATACTAATAATAATAACAATAAAACCTTCTGTTAATATTGACTATATTATTATTACATGAGTTATTTTGGAGTTCACAATATCTTCTGAAATATTAATTTAAATTTAGCTAAAAGAAATCAATAACAATCCCCTTTTAATTGTTTAATAATTCAATTTAGTATTTAATTCTAAATATATTAAGTCATAATCAATGTGTTTAGTAATTTTTTTATTTTTATTTTTAAATTCACATATAAGTAATAATTCAACTTGTCTGGGATAAAAATTTGTGTGTGATTTCACTTATTACTAAATACTTAAAACACTTAAAATTCAATTCAAGTGTTAAAGAAATTATCAATTTATACTTACTATAAGAAAAATTAAAAAATCTCTACTTATAATTAATATTCAGAAGTTTAGTATTTTAAATCTAACCTTAAAATTTTTAATACTTAACTTCTAATTTTATCAAATAGATTAGGAGAACACTCAGACTATGTACTAAAAATATCAGTGTGTTATTTTCATGGACAAAACAATGTTACCAGTGATTTGGGAGGTAAGTCTTTGAGGTCTCGCTTTAGAACCGTACTCCTGACTTAAATAATATGTGTATTATGAGGTCGATACACGTGCTCTAAAAAAAAAATAATAATATCACAACATTTGCCCAAAAAGTTTAGGAAAAGGACTGAAAGAGCCAATTATATCGAAATTACTATAATACTTTTTTTACTAATCGAAATTTTTAATTTTGTATGTTATATTTGGAAGTATTAAATCAGCGTCTTAAATTTAAAATTAAAAAAAATTAGTTTAAAATTTAAACAGAATTTTTTTCAATTTCAAAACCTGATTATGTGCTTCCTAACACAACCTATCACATATGTTCATTTCTATAAAAAAAACATGGCTGAGGTTACACTGTATTGTGGACCCAATAATAATTGCAAACAAGTACCCCAAGATCACCCGCCAACACACAATAACACAAGTACACCACCTAAACCCCTATTCGGTCGTTCCTTTCTCCTATTCTGGGCTTTTTCATATCTTAAATCCTCCGATTGCCTTTGTCCTTCAGTGGGGCTCCAAATCTACTCAGATTTGTTCCGTTGAATTTCAGACACAATCATTCATTTATGGACTCACCTTGCCATCCACTCGTGTTGTTCGCGGGCAAGTTGAGCATGTATAACATTTTCTTCGTATTTGACAATTTTTATGCTTTATTACTTCCTTTATCAATAAACATGAATAAATATTTTTAGAAAAGGTAAGCAATATTCACCTCCACTATTTTTCAATTGTACTTTATTTATCAATTTTTTATTGTATATAGATAATTTTATTTTTGGCAGATCAAAATAGATAATTTATTCAATAGTTATTTTATTTTTTATATTATTATTATTATTATTATTATTATTATTTTTACAATCGAAACACATAATTTATTCAACAAAATTAATTTTTTTTTGCTATTTTTCTTCCAGTCCTGTGAAAAGAAATGATTTATTCAATAGAATTTTTTTTTTTTTAATCAAAAGAGATAATTTATTTAATAGAAATAATTTTTTTTAATACCGTTTTATTTTATTTTATTTTATTTTTGATCTTGACAAAAAAGATAATTTCTTCAGTAAAGATATTTTTTTTGGGGGTTTTATTTTTTATTTTATTTTTCTTGTCAAAAAAGATATAGTTATTTTTATTTTTATTTTTTTGGTTCTTCACAAATCTAAAATATTAAAGATTAGAGATAAAGAGAGAAAATTTGAAAGAGTTGTTATGTCATTTAAAAAATAATAATCATTCATTTGTAAAGTTAGAGTTATAATTATCATTTCGGTTAAGATCGGAGTACACGTGTAGAAAAATGGATTGCAAATATCCGCTTACCTTTCCCAAATTTTATCAATATCCTACATAGACCCATCTAAGTTTCATAATCACACTTACCTCCTTTGAGGTTTTAGTTTATGTAATAGATTTGCCCTTACTGCTAAGCACCTGACAAAAACAAATAGAATCCGTTGATATTAGCATCCATAAAATTGAAAAAAGATCAATTTTGCCCTTGTAACACTTAAAATGAGAACAATTATTTTATGGATATAACGGTTTAATAACACATTATTATCGTTTACCAAGTTGGATGGACTTCACTCACTCGATGGGAAGGTAAATAAAATTATTACATAGAGGGGGTTTCCATAAAATATTGACCTCCCTCAGTAAGTACCCGACCTTATTCATGGATATACGCCAGCTTTATTCAAACTTGACTCACCTAATGAGCATTCATGAATGTGGTCATTCAAACACCTAATGAGCATTCATGAATGTGGTCATTCAAACTCTCACTCTATTTTTCCGTCTCTCCCCTCTCTCTCTACTAACACACAACACATAATGAGCATTCATGAATGTGGTCATTCAAACTCTCAACTCTATTTTTCCATCTCTCTACGAAGTTTTTGCTGCCGTACCTTTTTGACCGTCTCCCTACTAGGTTGACCAATTTTAAACAGGAAGATTCCCAGTATCCTCCTTTACCCAACACAATCTCCATAAGTTGATGCATCATCTTTTTGCCACATGCTATACGTTATCTCTGGTTGTAACTTTTACCTGTGTTGTGTGTGTGTGTGTGAGTGAGAGAGAGAGAGAGCTAATTCAATCACCAACTGAAAGCAACCTATTTTTCACCAGTTGTGGTTCATATGATAGCAGATCTCATCCAACCATAGAAAACTGTAAACGGACATAATAGAGAATGGTTCCAGGTACCAGAATAGCCACCAGTGGGCGTAGCTGTTACCAATTTCCCAACTCATTTTGTACTAGAGAAAAGCCTATCTATGAAAATATGATTAATCTAGGTTTGGGGTAAGTTTTGATGGAGAAGTTGTACACTTTTCCGTACTTCGTATCCCAAGTAATTTCCTCCACAGTATTTGGCTTTGGCGAAACCTTGCCTTGGCCCGAAGGAACCTTAAGCACTTGTACAATGCTCAGGTCAAGGCTCTGAGCTTTTGAATCTTAAGCACTTGTACAATGGTCGGGTCAAGGCTCTGAGCTTTTGAGAATTGCTCTTTCAAGAGCACAGTACATGAAAGTTGTAATATGCGGGAGAGAGTCGTTGTCTATCGTTGTCCTATATGGTAGAATCAATGGGCGACCAAAGAAGCGAACATTTGTCGTCTATGGTAGAATCAGCAGGGACCAAAGAAGCTAACATTTTCCTGTGTGTAATAGTCCTGTGTGTAATAGACACCAGTACTTTTGTTCCAATCGAGATTCGAATTCTCAACCTCCTCTCTCAAAGGTTGAAGCATAACTAAATTATAAAATTTCAATTCAACTTACTGTAACCTCTTTTCGTATTCCACTTCTTTTTTTCCATGTTCTTTCACATTTTTGAACTTTTTGTCCTGTTCACTGACAGTACTTGGTTAACCACACAATGTAATTCGGTATGGAAGCCAAACAATCTTTTCCACAAATCAAAGCATGCTACTTTGCATGTCAAGGCACTCCTTATCATATTTAATACAAGAAATTTATCCACAAATCATAGGTAGTGTTGAAAGACTAACAAGAAAACAATATCACATTTCATTGATTACTTCAGTGTCAGTACATATAACTCATCACATTATGGGCCTACTGCTACACAATGTTGAAAATGAACAAATAGTTCGCGCAGAACTCAATGGAAGTTCGGCATCAGCAATTTCAAGTACGGAAGAATATCTCCATCATGATTTGTTGGGCATTCGGTTTTTTATTTTAATTCTAAGTTTATGAGAAGTACCTTCTGATGGATCAGCCCTCACGTCTGTCCTCTCTATCACTACCTTAGATCCGCTGGGTTCATCTGGTTTCAATTGCACAGACACCATGCTTGTTCCAGGTTCCTCTTTCGTACCAGGTAATTCAGCTAGAGGTGCCTTCGCCTCCTCTGCCATTGACATAGGCAATCTATTTTGAGTTTCGTCGTTCTTACTCTGCAACTCTAATAAAGATGACTTGGCCTCCTCACCGATCAGTGCTAATCTAGCTTCATATTTCTCACTCTTATTTTGCAGCTCCATTGAAGAAGATGCTTTTGTATCCTCAGTCAGCAGCTTTGCCATCTCCTTTTCTTTCTGCCGCTTCTCTTTCTTTAAGCGCTTCCGTTCCAAGTAATTCGGATCGTCCCGGTGACTTTTGTGGTTGTCCCTTTTTCGTTTCTTTTCTTTATTTTTCTTCTTCTCTTTCTCTTTGCTAGACAAACTCATAGCCAGTGAACCACTATCAAGATCGCGTATTGCGACAGATAGAGTTTGCAGACTTGCATATTTATGTGTCTCTGTCTCTGCATAGTCATCTTTCATGATGGAGGGCGATGAACGATCATCAGGTGGACATGGTGCAGAAACTTTGCTCGAATCTGCAGTGCACTGGAGTTCCTTCCCGAGTTCGTCACCATCACTAGCGAGTTTGGCGCTGCCAATACTGGCAGTGACCCTGGACCCAGGATCGTGGCATGAGTTGACTTCCTCAAGATTTTGATTGCTGACGCTTGCAGCCTCAGTAAAATTTCTTTGGGGTGCATCCACAGAAACGGAACTACTGGCACCACGGTCTGCATCATTAAGCCCACCTTGAGATTTTTCAACTGTCACATTATCAGCATCGTCGGCTCTACTGGATGCAGATTGTTTCACCCTAATTTTAACCACTGGCTTCCTTTGTTCATGACTGTTGGAAGCAGTATCTGCTTCCTTGGAGGCTTCCGGAATGATCAAACCATCATGTGAAAGGTTAGGGGTGCCCGGAGGAAGTTCGTGAGGCTTAGATTGCTTAACTAGTGCCGCAAAAATATTCTTCAGTTCACTGCAAGTTTCTGCATGACCCATTCGAAGCGTTTCATCTCTGGGGACTCCATGGAGTGTTGGGGGCCTGAAAATGAGAGTATGAATTAAGGTTAATGCAATGTTAAAAAGATGTTAACTTTGGACGCTAAAGCGAGAACAATAAATTACCTTCTATTAATTGAAATAAATTATAATTGCTGAATTATTGCCTACGAAATATTCTCAAGTTATTTTCATTGCAAGGACAATTCTAACTGTTTAATATGCAGAGACTAAACACCAGATAATGTTACTCATGTATCTACAAAATATTACAGGGAGATGATTGTCAGAGCACCTGCCCGCAAGGACTTGTAAAATGCAGAACATATAATGTCGTAGAATAACATTGTTGAATGCCATAGGACTCTCAAGCAGACGAAGCAAAGCCACAAGAGTCTCGCCCTTCACATCATTGTCAGGATCAGATCGACTCCTTATTTGACATAATCGCATAGCATGCACCCCCAACTTCACCTGCCCTGCAATGGAGCAGAAACTAGGTGAGAATAAGCACCAGCAAAATGACAAGAATAAAACAAAGACTCCAATAGGCTATTGGAAGAAAAATCAATCGGTAAGAAAGAAGATTTATCCAATAAAAGTTAATAACCTCTTAAAGATGGCTCTTCCTCCAAGTATTTAATGAACAACATTAATGTTGCATCAATCCCTTTGCAATGGTACTCAAGATCAAGGAGTGCTCTACTTGCTTCAATTCGAACTTGCCATACCGTCTTTAATTCCCGAAATGGCCTAATTAGTTCACAAACACGATCCTGCAACCAGCAACAAATACTACAAGTGAGACAAATTCAAACTGCAGCTGTTTTCAGAGGGAGGTAAAAACTTACGATGGGAACAAATCCTGAAAGCTTTAACGCAATCTGAGTCAAGGTCCGGATGCAGCTGATTGTCAACACCCCATTGTAGCTTGGCATCAGCCTGGTACATGCCATTTCCACATACATGCAGTGAATAACAAGTATAAATGATATAAATCATTGTATCTAATATTCTGTGCGTGAATTGACCTGTCAAACTGCAAAAGGCGGTCGATGCGCTTGAGAAGAGATGATAAAAAGAGAATACTCTGCCACCAGATTAAAAAGTATCAGAAGGTACGGTTTAAAACAAGATCTTCAAAGTCTAGGTAAGCTATTTTTGAAACTTGGATATACCCATCTATATTCAAACAGAAACATCAACCAAAAAACAAAAAACTGAAAAATAATGACTCAATATGAATGAAGGTAGAAAATAGCTCAAACGGAGCAGTTTTTTAGGAGGAACCAAAAAGCAAAAACTACAAATGGACAATAAAAAGAGTAATACTTACAAACCTGATGGCCAAATTCAAGTTCGCCAATTGCCTGCACTAATGCAGCAAGCCAGAACACATCCGAATATGGATTACCGTTGTTATCATTATACTGCAAGATAATTAAAATAAAGAAAACAGAAAAGGAAAAATGAGAAAATATATAAAACAGAAAGGAAAAGAAACAATTAAGTATGATTGAGGTATCAAAGCAAAAATCTAAAAACAATGTTTTTTTTTAAAAAGAAAAACAACTATATTACTTGTCAAAAAAGGCAGTTGCCTCAAAAATGTTGGGTGTAAGGAAAGTCATAATTTAACTTTCAAATGCTCATTTAAGCATCAAAGTGACAAAATTGTAGCACACAGTACAAAAAAATGAGCACCATAGGAAGTAGCAAGTAAACAATAAGAAAAATAGACAAAGGCATTAACAACATAGTATTAAAGCAGAGGAAAGCATGCACTTCAGAGAAGTTGGGGCAACATAAAGCTAAATTATCATAAATATAATAGGACTTCTGTTTTTAGATGTGGAGCATCAAATGATAACTGCTTTGTACATGATGTCCTCAGGGTACATCTTATTTTCTCTTTCATTTTCCTAAAGCTACAGAGTTTGCATGCTTTATATTTTCTCATACATACTCCATTCCCAAATTGTTTGTCCACCTCCTTTCAGGATGCCCCATAATAGATCTCCACGTCACAAACTGCATTTTTAGTAGGAAATATTAGAATGTTTTCTAACACACTAATACGTGAAACTTTCAACTTCCGAGAATCAGTTCCAAAAGTTTCAACAATCATTTTTCAATATTAATGCATGTGTTTCCTTAAAAGGTTGGAATATAAAAAATGGACAAGTAATTTGGGATGGATGGAGTATCTTTTGCTTGCATCCATCAAAAAATGCACTAGTGACTAAAGTTTTGGGTCATCTTTGCTCTAAATGAGGTAATCCACAAGAAAGAACCATGATAAGTGTGATGTTGTGGCCTGAAGTTTATTTCGGGGACATTGCGAGCTGGTTGACCTGAAAAGGGAGAGGGAAGGAGAAAGAAGAGCCGGGGGGGGGGGGGGGGGGGGGGGGAGGCGATTAGGGATTGGAGTGGTATAAAATCGCAGAAAATAAAGTAGAATGAGAGCTAGGGTTAGGGGGTTAAAGCTTGTAATCTACTGATTTTTGCATAGTAAAATCTTTTGTTGGATTTTCACCGTGGACGTAAATACAACTTGCACCAAAGCATGTAAATCTTTGAGTTATTTGTGTGGCGTATTTACTTTTCTGTCGTGATTCATGATTTGTTCTTGGTTCACGGTTGTTTGCCATACCAATAAGTCATCCCATCAATCAATGACATCAAATCACAATTATAATTCGAAAAATATCCCTACTTAAAAATTATATATAAAATGCAAAAACACATCATGAGGTTTACATAAATTGATAAATTCTCTAAAGTCACAAAGAAACTTTCTTGCATGTCTAACATACCAACTCTCTCTCTCTCTCTCTCACACACACACACACACACACTCACACACACGGGAAGAACCTGTAATTTAGGTTTGTCAGCCATGATCTAGAAGAATAAACTAATCCAAAGTAAGATGGAAATGGACATATTGAACTTATAATCTCTCAGCTGCTGAATGTAGGAACACTCTTTTAACCAATTTAACAACTACATAACTGTAGGCTATATTTTTAGCTATGGTCCTTTGATCCAAGAGGTCCATGAATGGTGGAAAATGATTTGTTAAAAATAGGAATGAACTGATGGACTTGGCTTTGGCAAGAGTAAAATGCTTAAAACAAAGAGAGTTATGGCAGCTGTGTGCCTGAAAGGATGTGCTATTCAGTTCAAAGTATTGAATGCGGGTTCACAACATTAGGTAAGTCAAATAGGTCTTGCATGCGTCCAGGGAAGTTATGACAAGTTAAGCTACACGCTTGGAGCCAATTACACCAACTAGGACCTCTAGCATGCTGGGATTGCATCACTGGACCTACATCCCACTCTAAATAGCCACAACAACAAGAAACAAAACCTTTTGCCAACTAGTTGGGGGTAAACCATATGGATCCTACTTTTAAAATCTACTTTGCCCAAGGCCATACAATAAGTCAAAAACCATGTCATCATATCTTCTCTACCAACTTTATCTTTTAGTTTTGTTCTTCCCCCACCCCTAGACAGCCACACCAACACAAAACAGTCAATTTGAGTTTGAGGAAATTGGGTCCAACGTGCATCCTGAGGACAACATGACATCTCCCTCCCTCCAAAGTCAAACAGCACATATAACCCACCCTCAATCATATTTAAGGTGGGACTACCTCAACTAGCTGCCAAGCCTAGAATCCTAAGTAGTTTCATCTAAACAGTTATATGGTTTGGTCATCCCATGTGACACATTGAGCTCGTAGATTTTACTTGAGCAGTAGGCGAACATCCGAAACATGTTGACAGAAAGGCTCAGGATGTCGCACTAAAATCCATCTCAAGGAACAGCCAACACCAAGCTACCCCACACCAACACAACAAATTTCAATTAAGTTTGAGTGAATGGGTCCAAAGTGCATCAGAAGGATAACATGGCATCTCAATCCCTCTTAAATCGAACAAGACATATATAACCCACCCTCAATCAGATTAAGGTGAGCACTACCTCAACTAGCCGCCAAGCCTAAAACCCAAGTTATTCCATCTGAACAACAGTTGTATGCTTTGGAGATCCCATGGAACACATTGAAATACGCCTTAGGATGTCATACTCAAAGCCATCTCAAGGAATGGCCAAACCACAGACATGCGGCTAAGTTAACTCTTTTCTGGGCAGCCTTCAAAACTTGAGCACCTAACCATTTGACCCATAGTGAGGTTCATGCCCAAAACAATGTGCCATCGTCAAAACTAAGCATTAGGGGACTCACTCACTCACACACACACACACACACACACACACACACAAAATGGCAATACCCGAGTACAACTCATTGACTTGTAACAGCCAGAGTCGGTAGATGCGATTTGAAGTCTGAAACTTTCCAAAACTCACTCAAGACATTCCTAATTAGAATTTAATTACTCCAACACTATTAAAAGGTACTCTAGGGTTCTCTAAATATAAGCATAAAATAAGAGACACAATTACACAAGTGTAATAGAGATTGAGAGCTTTGCTTTTGGATCACAAGCGGTTTCTTCATAAAATACCATATATTACTGTCCGATTGAGTTCTAAAGCAAGGAGCTTCATTGAATAATTCAAGATTGGTAAACCACAACACCTACACATCAAAGGATTAGATGACTAGTCATTAGAGATCAAATCACGGACCCGTTGACAGAGCCATCAGTGTCAGGAAGTTACTAGGGGTTATAACGTTTAGGAACAGTTAACCTAATTGCAAACTTCACTCTCATGATGGATTTTATCTACTTGGCCTACATCCCGTGGGTTTTCCCCGATAGGAATTTTCACACAGATCTCTTGTCCTTCATTTACTTTATTGCTTTGTGATTTGGATTATTTGATTGGATGAGGTTTGCATAATTATATGATTATTTTGTTGATTAAATAGGTTAAAATTGAAATTAAGTAGAAATCATCAGTATGCAAAAAACCTATTCACCACCCTCTAGGTCTAATTAGAATACCGTACTATAACATATCAGTGCCTCAGGTCTCACAGTCCCTAGATTTCCAAATTGTTTTCTTTGATATCAGAGCATGTCAATTGTAGACTTCAAACAAACAAAAATTTTATGGAAAGAAACAATAAAGGCAAGTAAAATGTTCAAATGTTAAAAAATGAAAGACATGTTCAAATCATTAAATGCAACACTATTTTACAAAATAAAATAAATATGAGAAACAGGAAGATCAGAATGGTCAATTTTGAACAGTGGTATCATGCCTTACATGGTGTACAATGCATGTATAGCACGACACTTTTTCAAAACAAATCAATGACACAATATGTTTCCCAAATGAGGCACGAGGCAGGGAAGTTCACGAGGTAAATTAAGGCTAGAATTTTATATATTAAATGAGTTCCAACTTGGCTCTACAGCCACTTGAATAGGCCAATGCTGGACTGAGGTTGGCGCACTACTCACCACCTTTTCTTTTTTAAATTTCTATGATGGTAATCATAGCCTCATACTAGATGGCCTATTAACCAGAAGACAAAACTAGTTCATCTTACTAAGAATATTTGAATGATATTTCAAATAGAGTCAACCAGAAAAGCTAGAACCAGAATTTCCATTTATTTTCTAGACACTATTTTAACCTTGAAAGTTGAACCTAATGCAACACTTAAGACATGCAGGAATAAATTAAATCCTACACAGAGGCATCAACCTTGATTATGACAACATACCACTGAACAATCAGAAAAGTACAAAGTTTTGAACTTAATCTTTAAAATTTTTCTTTCTCACAAGTAAATTTTTGTTTATTAAAAATAGATACTCAAATAAAGTAGTCAACAAAGTCGAAGAAAGTAAGACATAGGTCAAACAAATGCAGTCAACAAATAGCATGTAACTACCTTCAAAAGTTGTAAAACAAACTCCACAGCTTCTCTTGGGCTTTTCTTATCTGTTGATCTGACCATAGCTATGGCATGTGGAATAGCCTGAAAGAAAACGAGAGAATTTAAATGGCCATTTTCGAAAAAATTAGAAGATTTATTTTCATCAAACAAGCACAATCCATCCAAGGTAAAGTCAACCACCAACCATCATAATTATTATGAAACATGAACATTATGCTTTAATTTAAAATTAAAACCAAAAAACAACTCCACTATTGTGTATTCCCAAACTAAATATTCGTTAAGATTTGGGGACATGTATCAGTTGCTTAATTTAGGTCCACAGTTGGATTGAGAGATCCCAACTAACGACACTGGTTTGGGCTGGGTTAAGACCTCAAGCAATGTCATCCAACCAATCCCAACAACATGCACAAATAATCGAAGGGAAGGAATGGAACTTTGCTTCCACTTTTTATGAGACACATGTCAGAATAGATGCCAAGCCCTATCAAAGCATGTTTAAAGAAGGTGCAAAATAGGTGGATTAAATGAAAATTCGCAATACATTCTGATCACAATAGCTGGATCAGATGAAAATCTCATATGCTTGTCTTTTCACTTTTAATGAGGCATCACAACATATTAAGGAAGCAGACAGACATTGATACAGAAAGAGCCCAAATGAAGCAAAGATAGAGTAGAGTAGCTTCAAAAAGATTTCCATTATAAGACCAGAAGCTTCTGGTATTCATGGGGGAAAATAATAGAAAAATAAAAGCAAGAAAAAGACGTAAATTCAATAAACGTCATCCACAAGAAGCCTTTTTTGAAGATGGACACACTGCTTGCGACATCGTGAGTTCAAAAATACCCACAAAAAGGGGGAAAAAAGGAAAGGAAAAAAGAAAAGAAAAAAAAGGGAGATAAATTAAAGGAAGAAAGAAATTAAATCAAAAGAAAACTAAAGGTAGCTTCCAAAATGAAAGCAGCTTTTATAAATTAAATGCAATTGTAAAGTGACTTTCAAATTTGTTGCATCTTAGAATTTAAGACCCATCTCTAAAACTTTAAATAATTATATTAAAAATAACTTGAACTTTATTTATCAAAAAAATAAAAATAAAATAACTTTAATTTGCAAGCAACCTGCAAAACACATGATAATGCCAGCACTGCTACAGTGACACCAAATCCTTCTTGTAACTTTTAGCTAGGGCTGGCAAAAAATGACCCAACCCGTCAACCCGGCCACATCTGCCCAGTAATTAATGGATTTGGGTGAACCGTTCTATGCTCCGGATAAGATATGGGTGGGACTTAAATGACGCTTGCATTTAGCAGGTTAAAAATGGGTACACATTCAACCCATATTCACTAGTCCAATATCACCTATATAAACACACACCAAAAGAAACCCTAATTCTTCAATCTCTCCCCACACGCTCTGTCTCTCTCTCTCTCTCTCTCTCTCTCTGCATCGTTGCTCTTTCTATCTCTAGCCGAACTCTTCCTCTCTCTCTTTGGCTCAATCACGATCCCCCTCCCTCTATAATTAATGTTCAAAACAAGTTAAACACAATAGCAAATTATAAATTAAGTAATCTGATCAAATCTAGCGTATTACACATCCTACCTCAATGCATTACCTCAAGTACAAAGTATTCTGGGAAATCATGAAAATCATTAGGCCTGGAACGGAAGAAGAGAACAAAACTGATCATATAACTGGTCTGCACAGGAAGTTTGTCAAATTCAAACTATGAAAATCAAGAAGCTCACTTGGGGAGTCCAATATTTGCATCAAATCTCCGACTTTTATAAAATTTAACAAGATGGAGCAAACCAGCCCAATCAGTTTCCTGATAGAGACAACACAGTGAATCACAAATCAATGTCATGAACAGAAGTTACAGCATCCAAACAGAGAGTTAAAAGCATTGCTGTTTAAACATGCAAAACCAAATAAGTAGTCTATGATAAAGCGCATGTTTTTATAATTTATTTATTTTTATGTAAGTAACATATTAAATGGTGAAGGGTCTTCCATACTTCACATAATAGATTCTCCCTCTGTCCCATATTAGATGTCCTTTTGGGGGAGTAAAGCTTTTTAAGGGGACACGTAATTATTGCATTGTCCCTTTTGAACATACTAAGACCCTTTCAATTTTAAATATATATATAATCAAGTTTGAAATTTTTTAAAACTTCAAGGGTATTTTATGGAAAGTTGTGAAATGTGTTGTTTGAACTTTTAAAGTGGACAAGTATTTTGGTGCAGCCCAAAAAGGAAAGATGGACAACTAAATTGGGATGGAGGGGGTATTAATTAGCTTCACATAAATTAATATAGGAATTACTCTATGTTCCCCATCAGTAGTTCATTAACAACTAAGTTATGGAAATTGGCTATATATAAAACCAAAATCATCAAATCAAGGAGTTAGTCCATTCCTGATGACGAAAGAACAGTTAAAATAAACATATGGTGACATTCACACACTACATTATATAGCAAAGTAACTTAAACTTTTCATCAGTAAATAAAACCTTCACATGAACAATGTAAAATAATTTAATTACTACTGTGAAGCAGGCAGCATCACAGTAATACTCCTGATAATTGTATGTGTCCTTATGTGAAACTTTCATGAGATCTGCATCTGTGAACAAGAACACAAATGTTTTCAAAAAACATGTCAAAGCACTATATTACCTCAGATGCTGTATTAGCCAATGCAAATGCTGCCTCGATCCGGACTCTCCAGAAGGCCTTGACACCACGTAAGAAAAATCAATATGCATCTTTTAAACAATAACCAAGTATATGCTTGAAAGCATGAGATAACGTAAGAGAGAATATGAAGAGAAAACCTTTGAGTCACTGAGGAAATTATTCAGAGCATTGACAACAGAAAATGAAAGCTGTGGAAATGTCTCTAGTGTTGCAATTGCTTGTGCCTGCGCAACAACATCTTTGTCCTTCTCTAATTGGTTTATCTGAATAAGCATCCGCATTTAACAAATACCTAATCAAATTAGTAATCATATGGACGAAAGAGGTGATTTCTTCAAGAAAGATATATATATATATATATATATATATATATATATATATAGAGAGAGAGAGAGAGAGAGAGAGAGATGCCCCTCAATTAATTACGAAAGCAAAATAGTAAATAAACTATTACAAACGTCCGAGCATGACGCCAGTACAGATCTGAATGCTGGGGAGGGAATAGAGACAGACTAAACCTTTGCATTATTTGACGCAAAAGGGCTGCCCCCAGACTCAAACTCACATCCTCACGCTTTTGAGCCTGAGCTTTTACCACTACACCATGAAATGACCCAAGAAACTAGATAACTTTGGTGTGATTTGCACAACATATACACAATATTGATATTAGTTGGTAGTTGGTACACAATCACTTAGACAGCAGCACAAATGACCCGTATTTCATCATGTCACACATTCATGTGAAAACGTTTTGTAGTGTCTACGTGGTCTTTAGGCAAAGTAGCTCTCCTGCAGATCAGATTCCTCACAGGTGTGAATCCAAAAGGGGTGTCAAATATAAAAGAGTTGCCCAAGTGGTTACTGCAGTATCGTTACAGTGAATAAACACAAAAAATTGCCTAAATAACGGACTCGTGAGTTTGCTCATATAAAATTGTTAGCCAGAAAAGAAATTAAGGACTTAGTTGCCCCGAAAGGACAGGCTCTAATGCTTAGCACTAGTTCCTCAACAGTCACTCAGAACTTCTGCGGGCATTTAGAAATAATACCAGCTCAAAATATAAAAGATCTGTTGCAAAGCATAAAACGGAAGCGAAAAGATAAATAAAACAAGTAGAAGACACAGATAAATAAAACAAGTAGAACCGACAGTTATTACGTGGTTCAACCACTAGGGCCTACATCCACAGCACAAAGAGCCCAAAGGGCTACATCACTTTTATAATACTCTCTCAATTCATATACAATAAAATGGTGGAGGCTCCTTTATATAGGAGAAGCAATTATGGGAATGGAAAGAGATAGAAAATAGGAAACAAGAAGAATTTTTCCCCATTGATTCCTCCAGTAACACTAAATCTTTAATAATAGGAAACAACATCAATTACTGAAAGATTTTCCTCTACTGATTCTTCTATTAAATCTTCAATACTCCCCCTCAAGTTGGAGCATGAATGCCTAACTTGCCATTGAGATGACGAGTAGCACCAAGTGTGAATGATGAAGAGAGAAGAGAGAAGACGAAGAACAATACTACCGAACACACCGACAGCCCAAACTAGTCAATAAAAAACTACCGGAGACATGGCAAAGGAGAGGACAATGCTACTGAACACACCTGCAGCTCAAACAAACTAATAAAACTGCCGAAGACACGGCAAAGACGAAGATAATGCTACCGAACACACCAGTAGCCCAAACAAGTCAACAAAAACCTGTCGGAGACACGGCAAAAGTGAGGACAATGCTACCAAACACACCGGCAGCCCATACAAGTCGATAAAAACTGCCGGAGACGTGACAAACGCGAAGAACATTACTGCCCAACAAACCGACAGCCCAAACAAGCCACAAATAGCACCGAGAAACCCTTAGCAACATTTTAGATGCTAAGGGAATACCTCAAAATAGGGGCTCTAATACCATGTTGTAAAGCATAAAACGGAAGAGAAGAGATAAATAAAATAAGTAGAACATATAGATAAATAAAATAAGTAGAACACACAAATATTACGTGGTTCAGCCACTAGGGCCTACATCCACGGCACAAAGAGCCCAAAGGGCTACACCACTTTTATAATAGTCTCTCAATTCATATACAATACAATGGTGGAGGCTTCTTTATATAGGAGAAGAAATTATGGGAATGGAAGGAGATAGAAAATAGGAAACAAGGAGGATTTTTATCCACTGATTCCTCCAGTAACACTAAATCTTCAATAATAGGAAACAACATCAATTATTGAAAGATTTTCCTCTACTGATTCCTTTATTAAATCTTCAATAACAATAAAAAGAACCAAGAAAACAGGTCCATGAACTTCATGTCTACAAATTCCAAGTAGATGAAAGATTAAAAAACAACTACTACTAACAACCAAATAATTTTGTAGAAAGAGCTTGTGTTTGAAATTGAATGATCAATTTTCCCATAAAAGAAGGCCACCAAAGAATTGGAACAATATATATTCCACTTAAAGAGGGAACTCCAACAGAAAATGAAAAAAGGCCATTCTTACCCACATCTGCAGAGGTTGATTAAAATGAATTTCAGCAAGATACTCCATTTCTGGGTCTGCCCTGAGCCACAACAGGGGAGAATCAGCACTGCAACAACCCATATTATGAAACATTCAGGTAAGAGTTCCAGAAAAAATTTCAATATCCAAATTCTAAACAGAAAATTTCACAAAAGTGCATTAATAAGATAGCATACTTGGAACGCATGTCTAGAGTGGGCCCAGCATCACCATTATCATCAGAGCCATCAGGTTTTGAAACCTTTTTTGGCTTTTGGAAACGTTTGGTAGCAAGTTTCGAATGGCATTGTATTTCCAGCAGCTGCCAAGTTTCTCCTGCCATTGGTAGAATTGGATGATCATACATGCCATCGAGCTCATGAACCCTTATACTCATCATCCCAGGCCATCCTTCATCCCCTTCTCGATTTTCAGAATCAGGTTTACCATTATGAACTATCACACTCGTATCTGGTGTAGCTGTGCATCCCCGAAGTACTGCCAGTTCAACCATATTTTTCCGTTTGCTATAGGAAAATCCCATCCTAAGTGGGTCCCAAAATAAGGATGGCGATTAAACAGATTACATCAGCTAAAGGATGTCAGTTGTCCAAAAACACAGGAGGAGCAAGATATTTAGTGCACTTAAATCGTACCTTAGAACTGGACAACCACAAGACCCCACCCAGCGAGGAAAAAATTCTTTAAGAAATGGACGCTCGAGATTTCCAACCTTATTAGCCAAGTGCCGGAACTGCATTTCAAAATTTTCACCGAATAAATGAACCTCCAGATTTCAAATGAAATTATGAAGTATCCAATCCGTTGCGAAATGCAAAAGATAAACAATCAACCATGACTAAGACATTCAAAACCCATATACCATAGAGAATACTTTTATGATTATATCAAAATGAAACAAGTATTTGGCTTTTAGGATTAACGACTCAGAGGAGGCTGGACAAAGGCATAGTATTTTGGACCCCCTTATTGTTCCATCCACATATATAATTGAACCCAGATAGTATACCCAACGGACAATTTTAATTAAAGCACAGAGTCTGAAAATTTTGAAATCTTCTAAAAGGAAAAGAAAGGTACAATAGAGTGAAATGTGAAGTTCATGCACATGCGGATACCATTGATGTGGGCTACGTTTATGAGGAAGGGAATGAAAGGAAAAATTGACCCCCTATATCACATCATGTTTTCAATTGGGAGTCGATAGAGACACCTATTGATAAATAAATGGGTATGTACTAGTGCAAAGGGAAGCTATATGAGAAGGCAGAGGTGAGGAGGTCTTAAATGAATGCTTCCATATACTTTGGAACTACTGCATCAATGGACAGAAGCAACAGGAATATAGGAAGGGCTGACTAAGAACAAGAAAAATTAAAAATACGAAGTGGTCCATTCCAACAATAGGGTTTATGTAACAAATATGATCATATCAGTTGACCATAGCCTTCTCCATTATTGGAACTTTGGCAATTGGACCTCACAATCACTAACTTGCTCCAAAATTGGAGAGTGAATATTGCGTGGTTATAGAGTAATGACAGGAAGTCCTTTCTAGAATCGACAACAAATCCCCTTGCTACTTCACAGTGCTTATGAAGGAGAGATTTAATAAAGAAGAAGAAGAAGAAGAAGAAGAATATTGAAGGGATGAGATGCCTATTGACTAAATAATGAATTGGCAGACTTCACAAAATTTCGCATTCATCAATTTTTATTTTGTGCAATGTAGATAAAATAAAGAAGAAGAAGAAGAAGAAGAAGAAGAAGAAGAAGAATATTGAAGGGATGAGATGCCTATTGACTAAATAATGAAAGTCTGCAAGCTACTCTCTTGGCAGACTTCACAAAATTTCGCATTCATCAATTTTTATTTTGTGCAATGTAAATAAAAAAAATGGAATTTCAATGTATTCGTAAATAAGAAATTATTGCAATTATTACAAAAAGCATACAGACTTTACAAACATATATACAAGTTTACCTTTTGCAGTCCATATTGGATTATTTTAGTTCACAAAGTGATGTAGTGTAGAACTTATAAATAGTTTAGTTATTTTAGACATCAATAGTAATTACTTCTGAGTTTTATGTTAGTTTTTAGTGATTTCTGGTTCTATGACTTTAACATGTAGGAGATCTCCACATTACTTAAGTGAGTTTATGCAATGCACATGTAAACTTAAGTGCCTAAAGTATGACGCTTGGAACAACTGTGGTCTTGACATGTAAGCAAGGAGAATACTTGGTTGTAGGCTATGTCACATAATTCTAACATAGGAGAGAGATTGGTTTTTAGGAGTGTGGAAAACTAAGGTGGATGCTATCAATCTCTCTTTACGCCTCATCTTCTTTGGGTTACTCCCCATACTTGCATGTTCTTTTCCTTCCATACAACGACAGTTTTGAGGACAGAAATCGCATAATAATATAAATTTTGAATCTTCCCAGACCTTCATTTGATTGATTCGATTCAGATGTCTAGCCCCATAAATGGTGGAAAATAACCCTAGCCCATTGCTTAGAGTTAATATATTTTGTCCCTTCTCTTAGACTTACTGAGTTTGTGGACTGTTTGGTATTGACAATACTTGTGGTTTATCAAATCTTATTCAATAAAGTTTATTTGTCAAATTGAACTCGGTCCTCTCTGAATTTCCCACCTCTGTTATTGTTTGGTGTCCATGCATGCTAGTAGAAATGTAGAATGGTAGTTTAAGTTTGCTATACATAAAGAACTGAATTAAATGAGCAAATTTAAGTGACCCTATAGCTGCATTACAAAGCTAAATACATGGACTCCGCTATTCTCCTTAGCATACCGGTGTCTGATACAAACCTAAATCAAACACCTGGATCCTCTCACTAATAGTGATGATGAAAAAAAAAAAAAAACTCAAATTCGTATAGTCAAAAATAGATGAAAACCCCCTTTTCACCATATTTCGTTTAATTTAAATTAGCATGAATATATTCTTACAAGAATAACAACATCATAAATTACACTTTTATATAGCATATTATGTTTCAAGTGTGCAAGACGTGTCCACATTTCTGCATCCAAGTTTTGGACACATTTCAAGCCGAATCCCCAGAATCAAAGATTTGGGACACTTACCCAAAAAATAAATGTACCCGAATCCATGTAACATAATTACAAAGTTTAAGAATGTAAACATCATTTAAGCATGGTTTATAATTATTTGTCATTCAAATCATAATACATATGATTATTTATTGTTTACTCCATGAATGAACTACGTATATGTTTTTTTTCTTATTTTGCAAACTTATGTAAATTAGGGTCTTAAAACAAAACCTTTTTCAATTAATCCACCAAATCACATGTCATTCAAGTCACGCACCTTTAACACTTCGAAGACAGAAAATAAGATATCCAAAGTTCCTCAATGAATGGCAAAGAAAAACAGAGCTAGCCATACAAACTAAGGTTTTAGACCAGAAATGTCATTTGACTCATTTTACACAAAAAATAAATAAATAAATACTTCAATAGTAATAGCACCTTGGAAAATACAGTCAAAAACTAAAATGAAAATAAAAATTAATTGCTATCTAAGTAAAAACTACAAAACCAGGGTATAAAGATGATATTAACATTAAACAACACCAAAGGCAGATGCTCTTGCAAAGAGGACTGCTCTTAAATCATTGTGCATTGTTGGGGACAATAAGCCACCTTACATCTCTTCTAGCTCAGAGAGGGCTCCCTCAAGTTGGAGTACTTTATTGGACAATATACCAGGCATATCTCTTCCAGCACAGCAGCATGGGTTGTGCTGTTTTCTTGGTCTTTGAATATTTTTTTTTTTAAATACTCTTGTGCCTAGACCCTCTTAATTTTTAAATTTTATCCTTCAAAAGTGGGGAAAACATAAATAAGAGTATAACTAATTACCTCCTTTGTACTAAGACTTTTCACAGCACGAGTAGTATCTTGAGCCCGTGGAACAATTCGATGCAAAATCTATATATGATAAACAAAAATAAGGAAGAACAGCCATCAGAAAACTTGAAAAGCTTTCCACAAAACATTAATTAATAAAAAATACAGCAGAAGAGAGAAGGTGCACTTATTTAGCTCCAACTGACATAAATGGAGAAACTGAGGCATAAATGACGCATATGGCAATGCTTGAACAAGAGAAAGAAGATGGTATTAGAGAAAGTGTCCTGTTAGCATCTATCTATAAACCAGGAACTGATACTAAATAAGCATAGAGCAATCATCGAACAATTTTCCTTGCCTTCAACTAAAAGAAAGGTTCCAAAAAGGCTATTACACAATGTTGATCTGTCAATTCAAGTGTAGGCGTGTGAACACGTCCCAAATATGTCTTGCAACTCCCCATGGAAATTCTGAGTGCATACAACATATAGAAGACACTTTCTAGGACGCATGTTCTCCAAATAAACCCCGTCCATAATTATTGACAGCATGAAATTAGTATAGCTGTATTTCCAATCTAAGCATTCTGGAACAACAATCAATCACCGTCTATTGGTTAACACCTCAGATTAAGAAAGAAGATGAAAGTGGCTTTGTGGGAATTTGAATTCCTTCACATAATTCCAAGCCTTTTACAAAAGGTTAATACACAATACGAGAAAACATATTTTGGCACCCTTAACTCGGAAGTACCATTGTTTTGCTTCCCCTTCTCTGTCAATTGGAAAGCCAATCACCAGTGTGAACCTAAGTCACACAATCCTTCTCAACAGGTGTCGCTGTCATGCTCCGAGCGCGCTCCCGCTCTCATGCTCCGCGCACTCTCTCACTCAGATTCTCACAGTTTATGACTTAATTATGCCGCTCTCACGCCCCCACTTTCGAATTCACTCTCGCTCCCGCTCCCGCTCCCGCTTTATGTGACTTAGGTGTGAATCATCTTTTACAACTCTATGGAGAGACAGCTTCTACCTTCAAAGCTGCAAGCTGGTTTCAACACATTGCAGAATAATAGAACGCTGCTCATAAGCACATAGAAAATCATCTTCATTCCCCAAAATAATCCATTCTACACAGAACCCAAAGGATTTTGTCCCTATCCATATTGGTGAAGAAAATAGCTTCTATTGAACTCCGTTTTAAGAAGGCTTGTTATAAAATTTCGAGTTTACTTTGCTGCCATGCTGGTTGACAACCATGGCATGATGTCTTGCCTATGAGTTCAACTTCATGCTCTTAGTTCCATCTGTTAGGTCACGGGACTATGTATTTGCAAATCTCATTATAAAATCCAGATTTTATATTTTTTTGTTTAGTTCATTTACTTTTAACTATTGGTTGATTTAGTTAGGGCTAGATATACCAAGATGAAAAGGAAAATCCTGACAAAGGTAAAAATGTAAATTTACTTCTTAAATACATAACTCACCAATTACTCAATTAGGGTTTTATTTCTTTTCCGGTAATTATTCGGGTTTTATTTTTGTGTATTCATATTATGGTTTGCATTCATATCATACATTATGGTTAGGATGTATTCTATACAATGCAAAATATATAGAGGTTTTAAGGAGAAAATTTGAGTTTACCAAAACAGGATGTGGGATCGATCAACCCCAATTGGCTGAATTCGATTAATCAAACATGAGGTGGATCAAATGGAACTTGGGCTATTAGCCTATTAGAGAGCACTTATCTTTTTTTATTATCTAGCATACTACATTAAAAGAGGAATCTGAGTGTTGACAAATATACTTAAGAAGTTCGACACCAGAAACAACAGGGTTAGATTGTTGGCAGAGGAGATCTAGTAATAGTAAGAAGAGCGGATCACGATCACATTGGTAAATAATCTCGTATATCAACAGCAGTAAAGTTAGAGGTAGACGTCGGATCTGAGGTAACTTAAGTGGTTTTTGCAAGAGCTATTAATGATCATGATTATTTCTTGAAAACCAAGCTTCGGTAACTATGATGTCCTATGATTATCATGCCAAGTGGGACCAACATGAGAAGAACAACAATAATTCCTGTAATGGGAAATCTTGAAAGGAAATTATTAGCCTCTTTACAGTCATTGATTGGAAACAAAGAGGTATTCTTGGCATACTGTGACGTTGCACAAAGGATTTGGTTCTCCTCTCAACCGTAATTATAACATGAATGGAAAATAATAAAGAGGTAACCTCCATTAGACAGGTCATCCAGATGGCTATCTCCGGAGAGCACAAAGGCAGAAAACATTTAGATTTGTGCTGTCAATGATGTGGTCCATTTCAATGCACCAGAATAGTATTTTCAACAGGCATACCGAATCCCATGGAGAGACACACAGGCCCAGAATTTTTCCAACCAATTGTTAGAGCTTATCATTTCCCCACAAAATCTTTGAGCAAAAATCTACCCAGGTTAACAAGAACAATGGCTCCAATGCTAACAAAATCCTTCAGAGCAGGATTCTCTTTTTGCAAGGACAGAGACCAATATGGACGTCGCTTTTTGACGGAGCATGGAAGCATAATCAACAATGAGCGAGGGTTTATATTGCATGAAGAAGACTGCAGATACATGGTTCAAAGCTGCTTGTTACTGTGAAGCCACGAGTTTGGTGCACATGGAGTCAATGACTCTCTTGGAAGCTATTAAGTAAATGGAGACAGTGATGTAAATACTGCTGTCCATACTTTTCTAATTTTTTGCAGATTTTGCCAAGAGTTTACAGACTAGAGGAGTTTAATTGTATGGGCCAAGCTTCACGAAAAGGTAAAAGCTAGGGCTGACCTGCAAGAGGATCTGAGTTCTAGCCTAAGACTGCATGCAATATAATTCCAAAGGTTATGTTTGTCTATATCATTCCCCTCCCAGCACCCCACAAGGCAGCAGTAGAACTAAGTTACCTTTAAGAATGTAATTGAATAATGGTATTGTGGATCCTGCTATACAAATAACGTCATCGTATAGAAAAAAGGAAGTAGAGATCTCTAGAGGAGGCTCATGCAAATCTACGTTGGGTCTCAGGCCAAGATTTTTTTTCCAAAAAGTAGTCCAGAACAGACACGATCTAGCTCTTGCTGATAATACATGAAGATCTTATTTTTTTTAAAAAAAAAAAAATGTACAAAACAATAAAAAAAGAGTGGAGCCTCCTCCGCATCTCAAAATTGGGTTGTATTTGGTGTTGAACTATATTTTATGCATTATTTAATACAATTCTGCAGGTTTGTTTTGTTTGAGTGTTTTTTTTTAACTTTACAAGCCCATGGTTACTATCTACGTTTCCCAGACACAATATGTAGCTTTGTAGTGGTGCCGGTGATCATTAAAATTTTGCCCCTATATATGTTATTCAATATTTATATGAAGTGCTTAGCAATTCTGAGATTGACTTTACCAGTTAAAATATATAAATTTACTTCCGAAAGTTGAGCCCAAGTCATTTTAGAATTAGGAATACCTTCAAGCATGTAAATAGCTGTCTAAATCTTTCAACTCAATGAAGGACAAGTAAGGAGAGCTTTCCAGCAACTATTCACTTAGAAGATTGTGTAATGCTTTTTAAACCATATGCGTGAGAGCTCGGGAATCTAAAATTCATGCCTAAAATCTTTTAACTTCTGAATTTAAATCCCTCCTACAAATGACAATAAAGTACTTGCTAAGTAGATGATACATTTGAGCAAAGATGTGTGGAACAGTAGGAAACCAATAAAAGAACTCAATAGGAATCTTAACAATAGAGAAGTCACTTCAGTTCTTACTTGCATTACAAAACAAAAACTGTTGCTTTCTCCAAGTTCTATGTGTAGATGGATGAAATTCCCAGTCAGAGAGCAGTTATACATTGATCAGTACTGCATAGAATCTTAACCAGAGATCTACGTGAAAATATTTTAGAATATAGATGGGATTCTAAAGAAAAATTTACAAGCAGATCCGTCTTTAAGATCTTTCATTGTTCTTTACAAGCAAATTTGTCTTTAAGATCTTTCATTGTTCTTTCTTAAGTAGCAGCATCTTGAGGTCCGGGTATTATTCGTGGTTTGGCCAGCATGGTATGAGGTGGACAATTTCCTAAAAAGTAAATCTACAAGACCTGGGGGAATATAATGTCACAATCTCTTCATAATCTCTAGTCATCAAACAGAAACATGTTCATTTAACTTCATTGATGATACTGTAGAGCCTGTAACCAGACCAAGAAGATCATAAAGAATTGCACAGTTGTCTGCTGCATTCTATTGCATAAAAGAAATGCCAAAATTTTCTGAAATACTAACTCTATTGAACAAAGGTTTTTAAAGAAAGCAAATTAACTACCAATATATAATTGGAATAACAAAACATCTTGAGAGAGTGATAGAGTTGACTTCTGATATGTATTGGTTCATTTGCCACATCTGTGCATGTGGCTTTCCTCAAATAACAGTTCCCAACCTTCTTGTATGGATTCATATATAGTTCCCTTACTAGTTAGTAATGATAAAAAAATATGAATGGCTATGGCGTGCCAGTGCCACAAATGATCCATGGCAGATCCCCTATGGATAAACCTTTAAGAATTAATTATACAGCATGAGACAAAAGGCACAGCAAAAGTAACAAGCAATACATAAGAGTAACCTCCTTAGTCCACCGAAGTGTTAACAAATATGGTGAAAGTATAAGCAGCTTGGATTCTTACTTTGCGGAATGACTCAGGCCCCATCTGTTTTTCCAACATTTGAAGGATTGCCACCTATTAAAAGATGCAAAACGGTCAGGCCAGAAGACGATAAGAATTGAACAAAAACAACAAGTATGAAAATAATAATAATAATAATAAATTTAACTTACAGACTTCCATGATCGTATTTTGCCATATAAACCAATGCACTGGGTTCCATACAAATCCTTGGATGAAGCAGAGGAACATAAAGTAGTTGCACCACTATCATCTGCTTTGCAAACAGCACAATTTGCCTGCACTTCAGGGGAAAAAATTAATAGATAGTAAAAATATAAAATATCAACTATCGTAATAGAATTTTTGCATTAGTCTTTTGGGGAGAAGACAGCAATGATTTTAACTTTTACATATTTGTACAAAGTTTCGAAGAAAAACAAAATTGATAACGCCAAACACTCGTCGAAAAGAATGTATTACAATAAAATATTATAAAGCGTAACAAAAACAAAAAAAACAAAAAAACAAAAAAAAACAAACCTTGCCATATACAGAATGTGCAAATACCTAGTGTTCAAAAAATCCCCCCACATTTTCCAATTTGAGCAAATAAGGACAAATCTTCAATTTGCCGTTAATTGAAGAATGAAATGACAAAAATACCCTTACGGCGAAATGAAATTTTTAAAAAAAAAAAAAAATCTGATTTTCCACCAATCAATTTATTTTTTCTTTCCTAATATTATTATTATTATATATATCACCTCTATGCATTCAACCGCCGCCACCACCCTCTCCATCTTTCCACCACCACAACCCCTCTCTCTCGCTCCATCCACCATTTCCCTCTCTAATTCTACTTTTGTATGTAACAAACAAAAGCACAAATCAAATATACCTTGGCCGTTGGATCTGTTGTCACAAATCAAATCCACCTTGGCCATTGGATCTGTTGTCACTGAAACCAAGGCATCAATATCTTTTGGAATCAATTGATACTTGAGGGCTATGTCACCATCAAATAGATTTGTAATTGACACTCAGAAGTTACCTGACCCGCATCAAATAGATTTCTATTACAGCATCTCTACTACCATGTATATCTACTACACACACGTGCGCACATATAAGCCTCACCCCCATTTTATTACGCATTCACGGTTCCACCCAAATCACATACACTCGTTTTCCCTGTTTTAATTGATTTTTTTTTTTTTTTTTTTTTAGAGTTTTATATATTTTTTGCTGTGTATGTGTTTAGCTTTGTGTGTGTATAGTGTGTGTATATACACACAAAGGAAGAGGGAGAAATAGAAGAAAGAGAAGAGACTGAGATAGAAGAGAGAAGAGAGTGATGGAAGAGAGACAGACGAGACAAAGAGAGAAAAAGCAGAGAGAGAGAGAAGAGAGATTAAAAATGGTATTTTGGGACTTATAAAAAAAAAAATGGTATTTTGGGATTTTTCATTGATTTTTTTAGCCAAAATTGACAGTCAACAGATGTATTTTAATGAGGGCAATTTGCTACAAAATTTCAAATTCTCGTACCATATAGCAGGGGTGTTTCTTGCACATATTTTATATAGCAGGATTTTTTATTTTTATTTATTTATTTATTATTATTATTTTTTTTTTTGCACTTTACCCTATTATAAAATTTATGGTTTGAAATTGTCCCCACATATGAATCCAATCAAGCATCAGTTTACCTTGCTATTTACTAGGGCGGGCTAGAAGTCATTTTAACTCATATAGTAGGAAAGTAAGCATCACAGATCATAGATGTGTGGGCCAGGAGAGAATTAGGAAAGTAATATTGCTGTTCTCCTTAAGAGACCATCTGGAAAGAAACCAAACCTTGTATCGTCGATAGCGTGCTTCGTTATTTCCAAGAAATCTCTTCATAAATGAATCGGTTAGAAACCCAGCAAGACCATCCAACAACCACTCTGCCAATAAGCATTAAGCAACCACATCAGCACAACTTCGTTTTCTTCAAAGCAAGTGAAATTTCCAATAACATAGATCTCAGATCGAAAAGTAAGACAAATATTTTTTAGCAGCTTACCATCATTTGGTGACTCAGCAGTGATATATACTCCAAACCATTGTCTTGCAAGGGCATATGCAAGTTTAATCCTCGTTTCTATGGTCTGTTAAAAAAAAAACTTGAACCATCAGAACATGAAAATAGGACCAACAAGGAAATGTTGACCAGATGCGATTCATAAGACAAAGGTCGAACATAAATTCAGAACACGAGAAGATGCTACGACGATATCAATGCATTCAAAATCACTGATTAGTAAGACCCTGTTGATGAAGAACATAAATTCAGAACACCAGAAGATGCTATGACGATATCAATGTGTTCAAAATCACTGATTTGTAAGACCCTGTTGATGAAGAACATAAATTCAGAACACGAGAAGATGCTATGACGATATCAATGCGTTCAAAATCACTGATTGGTAAGACCCTGTTGATGAACTTCAATGCATCTGATTAAGCTTATCAAAACGCATACACAGCCAACAGAATTCATTTCAAAATAGTGTTTCAAACACACACACAAAGTCTTGTTTGCTCAAAGTGTGAGGGCACTTTTGCTGAAACACAGAACCGCAAATGTTGTCTTCCTTTTATTATATTTTTCGGATAGAACAAAATGCCTCCATAGGATATTACTAACATAAATAAAAAACACTACACTGTCTCTTCTCTCTTTCTCAACTAAGAGATGTCTCACCACTGCCTCACTATTACTAGTCTACTACACTCCTATGATCCTATCTTTTGCATAACCACAGGCAATCGGTGGTTTGGACAGGCAAAGACTGAACAGTGAAGACGCACAGAGGTAAAAGATACAGCTAGATAGAGATCGAAAGACAGCAAATCTTTTAAACAAGAAAAAAGTGCTTATAAACAGCTAGGGCACAGGAAAGAATAAATACATGTTTTCATATATATGATCGTATGATATAAGAATATCATTATTGTTGGTCAAACTAAGAAGCCTAACCCTGTGTAAACTAATAATTAATGAGGCATATCGATAACAATAGTTCCATTTTATATGTGTCATTCAACTAAATCAGCTCAGAAACAGTGCGGGGTGTGTGACTATCAACTAGGAAAAAAAAAAAAACTCAGTGACAGTGCAAGTAGATCAACAATAAGTCATGAAATTATTGATCCTATGAGGAAAACATACAAAGCACCCCCTAAGGTTGGCCTTTTTCTTGGTCGTAGAGTCCCATGGCTTTTTCGAGCTTTGGCGAACATCCGACCGTATCTTGGTAAATTTCAACACTGCCAGCTTAAAGGAAAGTTTCATTTTAAGCTTCTCCGTTTACACCTCTTGACAGAGTTGGATAATAAAGAACTAGTCACTGATCTTTAGGACATGACTTTTAGAATTTTAAGGACGACAACAACATAAAGTATCTCCTATTAGATAGGGGTTTGACTGTATCTTGGTTAAAAGGTATTAGGAGTGACATATGCATTACAAATTCACAATTAGATTAAAAGGTAATAATCTAGAATGTCTTAGGCTAAAAAGGTACTTTAGTAGGGGGAAGATCATCAATCTAGAACAAATAAATGTAACAACAATGACATGGTGGTGATGGCCAGACACTAGAATAGAAGATTTATGACTATACCTTTCACTATTGTACATGCAATGTTTCTCGTGTTAAGAGTCACCATTGCTCCCTGCTGTCCCATCTGACTTATATCACTTGTGCATATATTATTCATTGACATAATTTATTTCATTTCAACTAAAATTTTTTAGGTAAGATAAAACACAACCTACTATGAAAAAAACAAGGATAAGAAATAACACATAACGCATGCATATCTCCTCCTAAGACTAAATAGTAAAAATATCGTCAACCAAGCTATGTGCATACCTGATCAATAACCTTCTCATCAAATAAGACTTGAGAACTAAAGATACACATGGAAGCTCCCGAACTCGATGAGGAAATAGCCATCTCCGGAGCAATAAAAACTTGTGTGTATGACCCAAATGGAAATTTTGCAGAAAGGTAATCCTCATAATGGCTGTAAATAAAATATAAAGGAAGTCAATGGAGCGAAATTAATGTCCAAAAGGTAACTAACTAGTTCGCAAGTTACCCAAAGAAAACTGGGCAAATGTCATGAAAGAAGGCAAAACCTGAATGCATTATGGAAAAATCCTACAGTATTCCTTAGCTTTGGTAAGTTAGCTGGCAAACACATGTGTGATAGAATACCACTATGATGATCAGGAAGGATTTCAAATGGTGCAACTGTCAGAGATATCCACCTTGCAGTGACTGGGACATTTAATCTGTAAACATATGTTTTACGTGGAGGATCATCCTTGCTCAATACCTACCAAGAAGAAAAAAGAAAAGAAATTTTCAAATACAAAGTTCAAAATTACTACAGTGGCTGCTAACCTATGCAATCACACAATATTATAATCATAGGAGAACTGACTTATCAAAAAAAAAAAAAAACATAGGAGAAATGGTCTGCATATTAGTACAATACCATCTTCCATACAGAAATAATAATCACTAAGTCCATAGAAAAATCAATGACTGAAATTTTAGCAAAACATTACTACATTACATTTTAATAATATTTTATTAATGAATGACCACTGCATATAAGCACCATGAAATTGCAAGTGCTTAAGAGAAAATGAGAGGAAAGTTCTCTCTCAACAGACTCCAAAGCAAGATAAAGGATGAAGACTTCGCATTCTTTTTGTTTTTTTTTGTTTTTTTTCCTAGTTGGTACTCACACACAAATGCCTCCACTGAGGCTTGAACCCCTGACCTCTCTTTGAGAAGTAGGGGCTTGGTACCAGTAGGCCACTGGAGTCTCTTTTTGTTTTTCAAGCAACTAAATATGGATTATACTGAATCAAAAGATTCTTACAAACTGAAAATAGGCAGCTAGTAAACAAGCCTTTATGAAAAAACATACCTCAGACACCAGGTGAAGGAGAGTTTTTATTGCACTCTCCTCATTTTACCTTCTGGGGGGGACGGGACTTGAAAATGGCTTATCCACCAAACAGCCATAGAAAATTGTTCATAATGATCAGCAAGTAGTAAACAATAACACCAAGAAACAATTTAATCCACAACAACTTAAGAAACAAAACATTTTTGGATACCACACCAAAATCTTGGAGGCCGTTAGATGGAATTATGGTCTTTCCTATTTGCATGATTATAAGATGGCAATGAAGCTGTAAATTGTTCTTTTTTAGCCTTTAGGAGGTACAAGTGTTGTCAAACGTTCTTGGAGGCGGTCAAAATTGGCAGCGCAGTTCCATCTTACAATAAACAAGTTTCCAACCTCAAACTTCTCTTCAAGAAGGAGCTGACTTTCTTGCATCCAAAAAACTTGATGACAACCTGGATAACACCAAGTCGTCTCCTCCTCCCAAGTGGCAGTTTACCACTCTGCTCTAACACCCAACTGCAAAGAGTAGCTTAAAACATGCTAATGTTTCCTGATATTTCATGACTAAAATTTTCGAAAAGACCCTATCTGATTTGCCCATGATTAATAATTTCTCCAATTGTGTTCCAATTATCACAAACATGGAAATGTCAAACTGCACAGACTCTATAGTTAGTTCAAACATTTTCCTATCTTCTACATCTTGCAGATTTTTATCTTTTTTTTATTGAAAGAAAAGGTCATTTACTTGGGGGTGGGAGAGAGAGAATAGCAGATTCAACCACAAACATTTCTTCTCAATTGCAAGAAGGAAAGCACATGCACATTTTGAAATTATGCATGTAATTTTTTTCTTAAATTATCAAAAAGATATCAGGCCAGTGGAATTCATCACTTTACTGGTCCAAGAGAACTTTTCTTTATAAGTACTGATGCGATCAATGTCCATAAGATATACATTTAATTGTTAGTGATTAACTTTTTGAAATCTGCACTGAAATAAAAGAAATAAACCAAAAAAACACACTATTTTTCAACCTAAATCTTAAAACCAACAAGTACTACATACCCATCCAAAATTCAACCAAAATAAAGATTTCCAACAAAACCTAATCCTGAATTCCACACAAGACAGATTTACAGCTGCAACAAGGAAGCAAGCAGTCACTCAAGTCAAACATCTAAGGTACAACAGAGCAAACTGATTAATTGCATCACACTCCGCCATCTAATGGGTCCAAACTTTAAAATTCTGAATTGCAATAAAACAACAAGGCAAGAATGCTACAATTTGATTGACATGTGTCTTTCACTTTTTCTATCAAACACATACAAGCTTCCCACTTACAAAAGAAATTGAACAAAATGGAAAAGCTGCTTTTTGTAAAATGAATCTCAAAAATCATGTGACTAAAAGATGGACTTTGACACTTTAGAGGTGTCTTCCCAGTACAAAAAGATGTCTTCCCATTATATATATATATATATATATATGACCTATAAGAGTAGACCTTTTCAAAGGGAAACTAATGATGGTCAGGGAAATGATTATTGGATGTACTATTTAAATTTTACTGTATGGGATTTTTTGTGAATGAAGGATTCTTCTTGTCTTTTGAAATCTGGATAAGGAAATAATCCACCAATACCTTTCATGTTATCTCCTAAAAAAATATGTTAATTTGGAGCAGTAGATAATGACATGTAGCATCATATATATATTGAGACTAAACTTATCCAGCACTTTCATGGACCTTCAATTTTAAGACATTAGCAGATTGATTATAAGTTACAACATCATTCACATTGTTCACAAACACTCATAACCTCTCTAAAGCAAAACACAACAAAACCAATATATCTGACAGCAAAAAGCACAATTTTCATCCAAATGGGTTCAATCAAGAAAAATTATTCCACTCCAGATCCTGGGATGCAAAATAATTTGTTTTATTTTTCTACCTTGCATTCAAATTAACCTAATGCCACTTACCACCCCTTGCATAAAAAAATATGTACATCAAATTTTCTCTCACCTGGTACAGCAAGTTTCCAGTGCTGACAGCAACAAGATTAATGGCAACTGTGAACTCCAAGTCATAGCTGGACAAGGAATAGAATAAATAGCATGAAATCATGGTAGACATAAAATTACAAGAGCATACATAATTAAAGCCAAATCAAATTGTTCATACCAGCAACGCTGTGAACTGTCATCCATACAAGGGAACCAACAGCGTGCTCGCCTTATCTGGTTATCCGTGTATAAAACATTATCCTTAAAATGAATTCCTGTTTCTGCCTTCTCGACCCAATAGTCAATGCGAACCAATTTCACATTCTGCATTCAACATAACCTACATGAGAAACCACACAGTGTAAACCTCATCACAACAAATCTTCAAGCAGAAAAGAATAAAAATAAAGTTTCACAAATAAAGTTTCACTGAGCAACAGTGCTAGAAGTAATTCACAACCCAGTAATGTATTAAAAAAATAAAAGACAAGCTATCAGCCTTAGGGTGGCGTATGGGAAACCCATGTGGAATCCAAAAATAAATTGAAAGGAACAACTGAGCATTCACATTATTTTAATAAAATATTACCTGTGCATGGAACTGGAGAGAGCAAATTAGTTTCATCACTGGAAGAAATTTCATTTATTTTGTGCTGCTGTAGAATTTTGTTTTTCTTCTCGATATAATAGACGTGATCCTCGTGCTTTGGTATGTTTATAGATAGAAAATATACTTGAAAATTGCCACATCAGCACATTTTGCTCATCTTCAAGTTCAAATTGCAGAAGCTATAAATCGTCCCAACAAATGGGAAATCCACATGAATCCCCTATTTCCACTCTTTTCTGTTACTACAATTTACAAGCTATGCCTCCTATTACATTTAATTTCTTAACGTCATTTCATAATATTCCTTCAGATCTTAGTTTTGTTTTGTCTCTTTATCCCTTGTCTTCTATTTTGCTTGTTATTTTTTGTATTGGCGTATATTCTGGTTTACATTGTACAAACATTTCTCTTATTGTATCACTAATAAGTGTCACACCTAATATCTTTCTTACAAGTCAATTATAAATACTTTCTGTTCTTGTTATTCCTATCACCTATCTCAACCACATGGATAAAAATCAATGAGCAAAGAAGCACAAAAGGAACTTTTTTTCATGTGTGCTTGTGTGTGTGTGAGTGAGACACAGAGAGACTACAAGTAAATAATACGCCACTTACAAAAGAAAAGGAAAAGGTCAAACATGGCCTATCTATACAATTAACTGAACCATACCCACATCATATAATCCATAAATGACTAGCCAAGACTAGCCATTTATGGATTATATTTGACTAGCCAAGACACAGCCAGCATTTATCCAATGCATGGATTGAACCTAAAGAACTGCTAATAACAACTGTAACCTGCTTGGGTTCGCCTGGGGACTGCAACCCATTTTCTGAATTCGGTTGTCCTTGTTGCTCGCTTGCTGATTTGACAGACTTGCAACACATGATCAGCAAATTTGGAACCAATTCTCTTTCAAGAGAAGATAGATAAACAGAGCCTGCAGCGTCAGCAGCAGAACTAGTTGATGAGACTGAGCACCATCTACTATCATTATCCAAATGCAGATAATGTGGGAATACTTCAAACTCTGCTGGCTCTCCATCAACTGTAACACTCTCAATCGCCAAGTTATCCGCATGCAACCCAACAATCCCATTATCTGGCACGACTATTTCCAGCTCAGTGTAACTAAACAAGGCAAATAATGATCACCCAATCAACAAAGTACTCAATTTTACTAAAGCTAATCAAGTAAACAGTGGAACTGAAACTGTTGTGACACAATTATTTCTTCATTTTATAATAATTCCATAATTAGATTATACCTAGCAGTTAAGCTAAGTATTACCAATTCCACACGAAATTGAAATAAATAAAAAAAACTTGAATCCATAAAAGCCACAAGCATACAAAGACACCCCATTTGGTCAACATATCAATAGGCAATCCATGAATGGAATCAAAGAACAAATTAGATGGCAAGTTGGAGAAGTTTAGAGAAATAGAAGGAACTTGAAGAGAGAACTATTGGCGGAGAACCAAAGAATCAATGATGACCATGCAGATTCCAAAGTCCCGATTTTTCAATCGGGCAAAAAGAGAAGAATTACAGGGATAGCATCCATGAATATATTTCTATATATATATAGAGAGAGAGAGAGGTAAGTTAGAGTGAGCTGTGCAGAATTGAGGAGTGATAGAAGCAAATGAATGAAGAGCTGAGACGAACTCACCCGTAGATTCGACGCTTGTCCATGTCGATTGAGAGGCAGAGCTTCTGATGACGAACCACTGCATCTGAATTATCCGCCTTTTGGTCTTCGTTCTTCGCCTTGCGAGGCTTCGCCATTTTTGTACAACACTCTCTCTCTATCTATCTATCTATCTACGCATACAAATTTGTATATATAGATCTCTGCTCTGCGACATAGGAGAAGGGGCCATATTTATAGAGGATTCGCCCAGAGAGTAGAGGACCCTCTGTGTTAAGTCACCGTGACCTAGCAGGGTTGGTTTGATCTTGGCCCTACGCGTGTCAGACCACCTTGTTTTAACGGTGATTATAAACCTAGATATGCAGTATGATGTCACTTGATCTATGAGATTGTTGTATTGTGTATCCGCTCGTACACTTGGTATCTGTGATTCGAGTTATATTATGAAATGGTCCATTTAGCCCTTGGTTTTAGTTTTCTTTTTCTTTTTTTATTTTTATTTTTGTTTCCATAAAAGTAGTCAACTAGTCTTATATACACCAAATCAAAGAACCAAAAGAAGGAACCGAGACATTCTCAGATTCTTGATCCAGTCTAGGAAGTACAAATACTTAGGCGTGACATCACTACCAAGATAGGTCATATCTGGAAAAATATATATTTCTCCCCGCTTCAAAATAAGTATCGTGTATAGGAAACCTTAATTTTTAATTTTTAATCAAATACGACACTTATTTTGAAAAGATGAGAATATTATATATATTTATGAATATTATGTTAATATATTATTTATATAGATAATAATTTTTGATCTTTTTTTTAGTTGGCACTTACACACTCTCTAAAAAATTATTTGCACCTAATTTTTAATTTTTAATCATTTTATTCATAGAATCACAAATAAAATAATTAATTTGGAGCTTAGTGCTAGATGTTACAAGGAGAGTTTTGTAAAATGAGTATTAAATGGGTTGAATGTTAGCTCCACCTAATAGTTTAGGGTTTGCTTGGTTTGTAATTATAAGAACAGTTTTTTCAATAGAAAACTGAAATATAAATTTGTACAAAAAATTCTACTTAATTCAGTTTTTTTTAAAACTTTATAAAAAGACTTGTTTTCAAATAATTGGTCTTACTTGGTTTGTAATTCTGAAAATAATTTTTTATTATCAGAAAACTAAAAATAGAAAACTGTACAAAAAACTTTGTTTGGTTCAGTTTTTTGAAAACTATTTTCTGAAAACTCATTTATAAAAAAAGCCTGTTTTCTAAGAACGTCTTTTATTATTTTCAGAAAATTATTTTCTATTCTTTGAATTCTTGAGAATTATTTTCAAAGTTACAAACCAAACAAGTCCTTAAACTTTTGAGTTGGCCCATAAAACACTAAACTTGTTACAATTGATGTAGGGCTAAACCCAATCCCTTTGTCGGACCCCAACCAGATAAATGTCTCAATCCCTTATTTTGATTTTTTCATTGATTCTAAAGACATTTTTCTTTTAATAAGGGTACATCCTAAAACATTCAACCATTGGATAATGGACAATAATTAATTGAATCACAAACCCTGATCCTTGATCAACCTTTCCAGTTGGCTAATTTTATTGATATTTACATCCGTGGCAATTTATTTTTATATTGTTTTATTAAGGAATTTTTGGATTTGATGTTTATTTGTTGTATAAAAGAGTTTCGGACTTGATGTTTATCTGTTGCATAAAATAATTTTGGAAGTGCCTTTTGTTTTCCTTACTTACATTCTCTTTGAATTATCTTGTTTTCAATCTCTGAATGGGCTCCTTTACAAAATATGTTGAGATTCAAACTCCATTCTTATAAAAACAATACTAAAAACATAGAATGAACAATTCATGGTCCTTCCCAAATTCCCTTTCAAATGCCATACTTGAACTAGTCACCCTTCCACGACCATGCTCTCTCATTAGAGAAGCTTGTTTGGACAGTCTCCCCTTGTGGTATCTTTAGCCTAAAGCACACTTCTCTCCACCTTGCAGGCTCTAGAACGCAGTTTTCTTGGCACAATCTTGTTTGGCGAGCTCCAACCATTCCTAGAATGAAATTCAACATGTGTGGCTAGCAGTACAAAGCAGACTATCAACTCTTTGATAGCAGGGCTATGGCTCATCACGAAAACATTTGCGTTCTCTGCCACATCGAGACTGAATCCCATTCTCACCTCTTCTTCACATATGCATTCTCATCCCCACTTTGGAGGTTCATTCGAGATGGATGCAAATTCTACAAATCATTCCTCAATTGGGAGGACTTGATCCAATGGATTAGCCAGCGATGGAGGGCAAATACTCCTCCAATTAACATGGATATATCTGTCAGCTATGGTGTATCATCTTTGGGAAGAGTGGAATAATAGTATATTCCGAGGAAAGCCATCGTCGCAGAGATTAGTTCTGGCCAAAGTTAGTAACTCAATCACATCTCTTCTTCAGCTGAGGTGCCTCAGGGATTGCTCAGGTTCAAGATCAATTTTGATATTTGGAAGGGATTCAGGGCTGGGCTTTTTGCTTTAGGTTTGGCCTTTTAGGTCTCGGTTGCCTTATGGTCATTTTGAGCCGAAGGCTTTTTCTGGGCCAAAGGCCTTTCTTGTAATCTTTTTTTTTATTATTAATACAATTTGCTTAATCTTTAAAAAAAAAAAAATTACTAAAAACATAAAATTAACTGTTCATAGAACAGCCTTGACCAACTGTGCTTCTAAGCTTGACATAAAATTATAAAAGTTATCACTAAACATGGTACATTGATCTGTTAAAAGTAATATTATTATTTTTCATGTCTTTCCTCTTATCTATTTAATTTTAATTTCCTACTTGAGTTGTATAAATCATTTAAAGATCTGTTGGGACCTTTGTTTCAATCTCAGGGCAGGCATAAGTAACACTAAAAATTTGCATTGTAAAATTTGTACGTATTTAAGTCTTCTTCCTAGGTATCAGGATAAACATGATTTAAGAGTGATTGCATGTATTCGGAAGGATCAACTCTTTTGTTGAAGGATGGGTGTCTTGACTTACCCGATGCATGTAGTACCGAAGTATCGAAAGGTACTAGTCTAGCTTTGAAATGGATGGAGATTTGAAGACACTCCTTAAAAAAAATTAATTAAAAAATAAAATGGAGGGTCTCAAGTCAGATGAAGCTTTGTGAGGAACATAATTAGAATACCAATTTAGCTGATTGAAGAAAAAATGCAATTAGAATACAATTTAACAGATAATTTTGCGCTCTCTTACAAAAATGGAAGAACAGAATGGGGATTTAAACAGCCTTCTGTATCATTCCAATAAGCCACAATTTGTGACAACAACCTTTGAGTAAGGGCGGTTGAAGCCTCTTTCTGCAACCACAGCTCTTTTATCTCCAATCAATTTGGCCACCCTGATTGCCAAACAAAGAAAAGAGAGGTTTCATTACCCTCAACAACAAAATGGGATAAAAAAAATAATAATAATAAATAAATAAAATTATGTTTTCAACAAAAATGATTGTGATATCATAAAAGAATTCTACATAATTGTTCGAGCTTTAGTTGTTAAGGAGAGAACTGAACTTCAATCTGTCATGAACAACCTGATTGATTTACAACTCTACTTTACATCTTTACTTGGACTGAAAACATTGTTGGCCTCATATTATGTACTGCATTATCCATTGTATGCCATTGATTGCAAATGAATAACACAAGTGAAATAATACCCAACAAAATCCAATACCTGAAATAGGGAGAACTAGTGTTCTCTTGCACAGTCTTCACCTGGCCAATCTTCTCCACAACCCCCATCCCTTCCAAGACTCTCCCAACCACCAGAGCCGAGCCATCCAACTCCGGTGAGTCTCTGGTGGCGATCACAAACTCCGTCCCATTGGGGTCCGTTCCGACCTCCTCCTCATCAATCTCCAGCTTCCCTTTCCTGGCAACCAACTTCACTTTGGGGGGTGGTTTCGAGGGATCCCTCACAATGATGCTCACACTTCCTGCAACATTCTTAGTCCCCGGACAACTCTCATTCACTCTCTCCCACTCAGCTATGAGACTATCAACTGCCAAATTGCTTCCTGTTTTCTTTGCAAGGTCAGCATCCACACCATATGACCTCACACCACCATGTTGCACATAGTTAGGCATGATCTTGATGAACTCTTTTCTTCTGTAACTAATCCCAGCAGCCCCACTGAGAAGGCTACTGAATCTAGCAGTCCCTGCCGGGGCATTGTTGCCGTAAAGTCCGATGATGATTCGACCAGCAGGCTCCCTATCAATGGATATATCAAGGAATGCTCTCTTGATTGGAGTATTGTCTCTGCAGCTATCCGCACTAGTCTCTGGATTTTGTTCTTGTTCATCGTTTATAGTGAGATTAGCAGCATTTTCTTCTGCTCTTGCCTTTGATGGTTGGAATGTGACTAGTGCCTGACAGCCCAAGAGAAGAAACAATGATGAATTGCTGCAAATCGCAAGCTCTCGCCGTGATATTTTGCAGGTCTGTTTAAGGATGTGGGGAGATATGGGAGTGGGTGTTTCTTGAATTTGTCTAGGAGGTAATATTGGTGATGGGGTTTGAAGGAATTGGGCATGAGATTGGAGAAGTTTTGAGGTCTGCCACATTTTTTGAAGAGTTGTGTCTCTCTCTCTCACTGGTTCTAACTTCTTTTTGCTGTACAATGTCTGCTTTCTCATTGTCCATAGAGACTGATTTTGTGGATAAGAAGGATAGGAATCTAATCCACATGATTTATTTACCAGTCCATATATATCGTATGCCATCAGTGTGCACAGTACTTATTGGACCATTATTGGATTAGTGAAAAGGTTTAGTGTTGGTAATCTTATAAAATTAGTAATTGTAATATCAAGCAATGACTCCTGGAAGTTTGGAACATCCTTTAATTTTATTATTCGGATCCCAACAAATACAACACAAACAGCACTCTTTCCCTGCAAAGCCTTCAACCCTCCTCAACAATCCAAGAAGGTACAGAGGAGTTTATAAGGAGGGTTGTTGGTGACTCCATCGTCATTTCCACTGAGCTTACCTTCATTTCTTACAAAGGTTAAGCTCAGTTAAGCACGTATAAATCAACCTAAACAAATTTCATTTCCAGGTGTGGTATAAACTCTGAGAAACTTCAATCGAGAAACATCGGGATAAAAATAAATAAATAAATTATGGTGCCATGCAACTTTCTAGGTAATACTCGAACAGATGATTCACCATGCAACATTGTTTACAAGACAGTTCGTCAAACTCAAGAAGGTGACAGTCAAAAATGTTAATCTGGATGCTGAGAGACCATTTCAGAACCATTTTGAGAAGACACGTTGTAAAATGAAGAATAATGAAGTTAAAGCGACCCATGTATCTTAAGCTTCCTCAGAAGTGAATACCTCTCTAAATGGATGAATATTCATAAAGTAATAAAATCAGATGTCCTAAAATCAAAGGGACCATCCATTATTGCCAAAAGCAGCAGAAAGGGCAAAAAAATCCATCTGGGTTTTTCACCACAAAAGCAACACAACCTGCTCACATTTCTCAACCACAATCTATAATTTCTAATAATGTAAGCCAGCAACCACATCCTCAAGAAAAAAGTGTTCTAGATTACCCTTCTGATTCTAAGACAACCAATAAAATTTTTATTTTTTACCTGAACAAAGATTCCAATTTCCTGCAGAGAGAAAAATTTGATGATGCACCAACAGGGCATGATCAGTCAGGTCTCCATTTGGACAGACCGAAGCTACAAAAATTCTCACCAACTTCAAATGGCATGCTTGAGAAAATACGTCTGACTGGGAAGCAAGTCAATTGAGCTCTATATCCTGAATCGAGGCCAAGTTGCGTATGGAAAACCAAACATACCCATCAACAGCTAAAACCTCCCTCCTTAGTCCACCACTTGTCAGGTCAATATGCAGACATTTTCAAGAGCTAAAATTTGAAACGCACACGGAAGAAGGTTTGAAATGGTAGCATAACAATTTTAAAATAAAATTTTACAGCAATTGTCACAAGTGCACTCTCCAAGACTACTGCTCTTCCAAAGGGAGGCTCAATAACTTAAAACCCATTAAATGAAATAAAAGACAATAGCAATCATCAAAAAAGAATTCATAAATAGTTTCAGCTTTACAATAACAGATGAGGTACATAAAATCACAAGACCAAATAAAAGAGCTGCAGAATCACCTTCGAGTTTTTGGCAGCCATCAGTACTGCCCATCTAGCTCCATAAAGCAAATTTAAGAACATAATTACAAAAAATGAAATAAAGGTTTCTTGTCAGCAAAACTTTTCAGTTGCCCCCACTTCCATGTCGGGTTTCAGAAATAGCCGACGCCTTTTAACTCTGCTCCTGTTGGTTGCTGAGCATCAGTACCTTTCCCTAGAAATACAAGGCGACCTGCAATGCACACATAACATGATAAAACAACAGGGAATGGTTACAATGTCATGCCAAGAATTTTTTCTCTGTTGCATGTAAGACACACGGAACAGAAAATAGTCACAATGCCACGCCAAGAATTTTTCTCTTTCTGCATGTAAGATACACACAAGAAGAATTTTTTTTTTTTTTTGGGGGGGGGGGGGGGGGGGGGGGGGGGGGGTTTATGTAAGTCAATCTGTATCCACACACAAACCCACAGTTGCCCCTACGGGGACTTGAAGCCCAACCTCTCGTGGCAGAAGACATAGAACCCTGTAAGCTTTCCCACCAAAACCTAACTGTTTAAACTCCTATTAACTAGTCTACTAACGAAAAATTTATGTAATATATTATGCTGATAAGCCCCATTAGTTTACATGAAAATCCTTTTTTAGCAGAAAATTTCATGTCTCAGTTACACTTAACTCATTAAACAAGCTGATGTTGGGTCCACAACAATTAACATCCTACAACTTTTCAATTATTAGGTTTCCAAAATAAATTGGCTCTTTCTTCCTTAAAATTTTTTTTTTAAAAAAACATTCCTAGTAAAATGCATCAAAGAAATGATTGTAATCATGAAAATATTGGCATACATTTCTCCGAACAATATTTCTACCACAATGCATCTTAACTTCTTTTAATGTTTTTGCCTCAACAAACACATGCGCTCATCAATGATTGCTTCTCATATAGCAACCCAAAGATTGCTTCACAGGTCAGTATCTCAAGAAAGTAACTGTTTAAGCATTCCAACTGCTGCACAAATATATTATTATAGATGCTGAAACATCAAAGCTCCGCAAGAATGGAATGAAATGCTATAAAAGGCTATAATATAAAGCTGAAAGGAACAGAGAATGAAGAAATTGCAATATTGAGGAGTGTTCCAGAAGCCAACACTGATCAAAGTTTGTTGGTTTCCAGAAGCATTTTGGAAAGAAAAAAAAAAAAAGTCGGAAATTCATTTTAGAAACGTTAACAGCATGCAGGGTAGAGATCTGCATGCTAAAGCAAATCATCACAGAAGTACATTTTCCCAGCAAATTTTTTTTTTTTTTGAAAGGTATGTTTTCCCAGCATTTGTCACAAGATAACATCAGAAGTTTGATTTGCTTAACAGGTTTGAAAATTACAAGTTGGGAAGTTTCACGTATTTATTTACAATGATCACTACATTTTCATCATATCATTAGAGCTCAAACAGCTAAAAGTTACTGGGACATTAAGATTAGTGTTATCGAAGGCCCAAGGCGCGCACTAAGACGCTAGAGGTCCTTTGGAGCCTAGACGCAAGAAGAGGCGTGCACTTGAGTGAAGCGAGGCGCACAACTGAAAAATTAAATTACTATTAAAGCATATTCATATTCCATATTAACGGCGCAAATGTTATCCAAGACGCAGTTGGGAACACAACAGGCGCAAGTGTGAGCCTGTATGAGCCTAGAGCATAGGCGCGCCTTTATCAACATTGTGCAGAACAATGCATCAGAAACCACCGCAGCTTTAATATATAGGGCAAAATTTCACATTTCGTATCTTTAAATAGTTTCCACAAAGTGTAGAAAAAATAGTAAATGTACCATGTCGACGTATGGCAATCTCTCTTATGCGCCGAACAAGACCAGTTACTGGATCAGAGAAGATTTTAGTCTCCAGATTTCCTTCCAAATACAGAATCGAACTGCAATTAGCAAAACATCAAAATAATATCAAGAAAACAGAGCTGAACTGAGATATCATTCAAGTGCAATCGAAGAGTCAAAATAAGTGGAAAGGAGAACCACTATCAAAACCTAATCAAACAATATAATAAACGAAAACCATATCATGATCAAAACCAAGTCACATGACAAAATGAAAAATCGGACCACGATAAAAGCCAAATCAAACAATAAAATAGGAAAACAACATAAGAAATTAAAACTTCACACCCATTAGAAATTCTATGAGATAGCACATGCCTTGATAGAAAGGTTGAGAAAGACCACAAGAACTAATTCAAAAGCAAAATATAAGAAAATTCTCAAGCCACACAAGGGTGCAGCTGGCTTAGGAGTTTGGATCCAAGCATCTCATATTTGACTCTTCCCAGACCAATCCAGTTCACTTGGTTTGTTGGTAACTGCATCCTCTGTGTGGGCTAATCTCAACTTGAAAAAAGGTTGCTAGCACCTTGATGCAATACAAAAAAATGACTTTCTCAAACAATGCTTCTTCTACAAGTAATTTTCTCAAAATATCTTTTATAGGAGACGATTTTTCTACTAGCTAACCTAGAATGAGTCACCAAATGATTCTTATAACATTGTATAACATAGACTATAAACACATAAGATGGAAAATCTAAGATAACCACAACTTCTGGCTATATTAATTCCCCGTACCAAATATGTACTAGTAAAAACTTGATGACTGCATACAGAATAGTGTAAATTTTTATATATATTTAGTACTACAAAGTATATATACTATTACAAATCACAATAATGTAATACCTTTAATTTGTTTGTCGGAATGAAAATTTGACATTCATTTAAGTACTTTTCAGATTTCTGAGCCTGAATTTGATTAGAAGGTCATATTTATTTTTATGCACCCATTCAAGGAGTTATATATGAATTGAGATTTTCATCAATATTGATTAAATCTGTTGCCCATTGTTGTGCATTATAAAAAAGACTACCATGGCATCTTAAAAGAGAGTTGGTTATGGTTGCCAATAAAAAGGGACCATTACCTAAACGTGATCCTTCTTAATCGAGTATGTTAGTGGGATAGACTAGATATAAGCCTAGCCTTTCACATTTGCACAAAGTGGCTGCCATCAAGATTCGGACTCCTATTCTCACACTTGATAGCCCAAGAATTTTATCTGTTCACTCAGTAATGGCCCCCTGATATATTGTTGTCCACAATCATTGGACCTACAAAAAAAAAAATTCCACTAACTTCCGCAAACCTTCCACTAAGGGCTAGTTTGGTGTGGTGGAATGAAATAAAAGAAAGTGGAGTGGAATGGGTTTTTTTCCATTCTCGTGTTTGGTGCCAATTTTAAAGTTGGAATCATCATTCCCCACTATTCTTGGAGAATGACCATTCCATCAAAATCATTCCATCTTCTAACAAAAGGAATGACCATTCCATTCCATTCTCATTTCATTCTCATTCCATTCTCACCTCCATTCTCATTCCATTCCAATTCATTCCACCACACCAAACTAGCCCTAAGTTCTGCAAATTTCACTAATTTGGTTCCAAGTGTTTGTTGCGGGAGTTCTAAGCTTGGGTCCATAATCCATATGTGTGTCTGTATATTACAAAAAAAAAGAAGATGGATAATTGAACTCAAGCTTCTCTCTAGTTTTCCCTGTTGTCCTTATAATCCCAAGGTTTCTCCATGAAGTTGGTAAACATTATTCATCTCTATTCTCTAATCTAAATCCACGAAGTAATTTCAGGGGACATATGGAATTAACAGCAGTGCAGCAATCGTGTAAAAATGCACTAGTTCAATTCAACATATGCATATTAAATTAGTAAAATAAAACTAAAACCAAATCATGAACCTTGATAAAGAGCAATAAAATTAGTATTACTGAAACTTTAACAATTCTCAAGGCAATATTAAAATGATTTACAAAGAAAAGAAAAGAAAAAAAGGTAGTATTAAAATGAACCACATAAAGCATGCTTATTCACACGCAATATAACAACAAAAGCATTCAAATTCCCTATGAGATTGGCCCAAGATAAAGCAAGGCATGCTTTGGCAGAAGGCTTCACATAAGAGAGTGGATTGATTGAATCCATTATACGAATCCTTTAGGTGAAAACATACATTTGCATACCCACAATCTAGAAAAATTCAGAAATGTGAGAAGCCAACCAAAAAAAGCTCACCCAGGAACAACGTGCTTCATGGCAATGTCCCCCAACCTCTCCGGATAAATGGAGACGCGATGCCACTGAACAGCGCATCGATTCGCATATTCCCTCGGATCCTCATTGTCCAACGGCCTCCGGTTGTTCCTAATCCCACCCGTCCCCACCGAAAGCAGCGTCACCGTCCTCCCACTCCTCAGCCTCTTCTGCAATGGACTCTGCCCGACCTGTCCCACCAATATCGCCTATACACAAAACCCTAACGATCAATCAGCTTCAATCCCAAAAAAATAAAACTTTAAACAATAAAATTATACGCACACATTCATACATATATACATGTATATATATGGTGTGGGGATGCGAGTGTACCTTGTAAATGCCGACGTCAATCCCATTTTCGAGGGGACGATCGTAGATGGTTCGTTGCTGAGTTTGGTCTGGTGATGGTGTGTCAGAAGAGAGTGATTCGGACTCGGGTTCAGGGCCGATAGTGGGATCGTCCAAGTCGGAGGTTTCGGCGGAAGAGAGGATTGTGCAAAAGGGCTTAGAGAGGTGAGAGAGTCTTGTAGGGTTTGAGAGAAGCGAGCGATACAACGTTCTTGATAGTGAAGAAGCCATTGAAGAAGACGCCCTTTGAAACACTGGCTCTCTCTCTCTGCTCTTTTTCAATTTTTATATTCTCTGCTTAAACCCTATTTTTGCTTTGTATGAAATGAAAAACCCTGGCTGGCCTGCGAAAATGCGAAAGGGTAAAAGGGATGATGTTCATGAGACTTATGGAGTGGTATTTTGTAGAATTTGCTTGGATAAAGTGTTTTTATTTTTTTACCCACTGAATAAAGTTTAGTAGTATTAAATTTTCCATAACTGTTTTTTTTTTTTGTTTTATTACCTATGCTCAGTGTTCTAATAATAAATTTTAAAAAACTTTGAAAAAACATAATAATAAATTGGGTTGTTTTCTCTATTCTTTTTTTTGTTGTTAGTTAATACTTGTATATATGTTAAGGAAATGTTATACTTAACAAATTTAGGTTTTATGATTTTATATCGAATTAGGGTAGTTGTGAAGTAGTATAACATTTTTTTAACAGGGTAAAAGTCCATTCACATTTTTTTTTTTTTTTTTTTTTTTTTGAGGTTTGGCGAAAGGACATGAGATAAAATTTATTTATTTATCTATTTTGATAAAGACACCTTCTTCAAGTTTGAAAAATGGACAAAGAGGTCCTGACGATGGTGAATTAACTTTATTACTCTTTGATATAAAATTGATATTTTAATTACCTTAAATATCCTTAGATTAAATCCAAACCCAAAACCAAACCCAAACCTTTATTCATTTCTCTCGGTGTGTGTGTGTATATATACACACACACACACTACATAATCGCCGCCGCCACCACTGTCAAAACCCACCTAATCGCAGCCCAATCATCAATTGCCGCCACCACCCACAATCCCAATCATCAATTGCCGCCGCCACTCACACAATCATCGCCTCTCAAACCCACCACCAATCCACGGCCTCTCCCGTAAACCCAGATTTTGCATAGCCCCTTTCTCCTCATATATTTATATACACACACAGAGATTACAAACTTTGAATAGTTGAACTAAACACTTTAAGCATCATCTCTCTTGTGTTGGGAGTTTATTTTATTCGTAAATTTGATTCGATTTGATTGGATTCTTGTGTTTGGGTTGATTTTTTAATCTATCCAATCAATACCTTGATTCATAAATAAGTATTCTTGTGTGGATCCAATCAGTTCATGAATTTAGATTAGCATAGATTTTTAAAAATTTTGGGTCTCAAAAAAATTAACTGATTCATGAATTCGATGAGTTATTTAATATAATAAATACAAATATATATTACAGTGTATATATATATAACCTAAGCATTTTGATGACATTTGTTTTTGAACTTCAAATTTTTAAAAAATTCGTTGTACAATTCAAACTATTTTTATGGGCACAAGTCATTTGCTTTTAATAATATTTTGCCCAAAAGTCGTTCCAAGACGACGGCGAAACTGCTAGCTAATCTTCTGACACCAAAAACCTTGATCTGACGGCGGATGAGGGATCATGTAACGATCCCAAAACTGATACTTTTTAAACAAAAAAAAAATTCGGTATGACCTTCCCTAAAAATAGGCCTATCACAACCTGTTTAATTGCATTTTTAACCTGTCATGGCTCAAATTCTGAATTCACGGCAATAGTAGATGATAATACAACCAACTAATCTAGACAATGCTTCAAACTAGGATTATCCATCTATTATTGCTGTGAATTCGGAATTTGAGCCATGACAGGTTAAAAATGCAATTAAACAGGTTGTGATAGGCCTATATTTAGGGGAGGTCATGCCGAATTTTTTTTTTGTTTAAAAAGTATCAGTTTTGGGATCGTTACAAATTTGGCATCAGAGTAAAGGTTCGAAAACCTTTAGGACAACGGGTAGAGGCCTACTTAGGGTCACATGGAATGTTGTTTGTGTTGCTTACTTGACTACTTGCTACGTGATATTTTACTTAAATGAGCATGCTTAACTGCCTATGTGCTTACTGTTTACTTGTTTATGTTAAAATGTTTCTTGCATAGTTTTGCATGCTAAGTGTTGTACGGTATCAATTCTTGTTGAGTCGTTACAGATCATAGTAGTCGTTGGGGATGCGCCACGGAGAGCGGTGTAGGTAGGTGTGGTAGCGACGGTGGAGGCTAAGGTGCGGTGGTGGAGGCTAAGGTGCGGTGGCGGCGGTCGACGACCCCTGCACCTGCCCAGCCGGTGTTGATGGTGGACCTGGTGGTGTTGTAATGTGTATAATATATAGGGTAAAGTGCAAAAAAAAACCCCTTCAACTATTGGCCATGTGCATTTAACCCCCCTGAACTATAATTTGCCCCCTTGAACTATTAAATTTGGTGCAATTAACCCTCAATGTGACATTTCCGGCCAATTGGTGAAAACATAAATAGTGAAAGACAATTGAACCCCTTATAAAAACTGCGTCGTTTCAGTTAAAATATCAGCAACAAAAATAAACATTATCACTATGGTCTGACATGGAGGGTGTAATCTCAGCATCCACTAAAAAATTGACAACACGCACCAACCTTATCACCATTAATCAGACGTGGAGGGCTTAATCTATACGAAAAAACCACTACCAGAATATACAAAACCAAAATACCAGTCAAATTTTTTTTTTTTTTTTGGGTAAAATCTGTACAACATCTTCCATGGGCGAAACCGTACCCTAACCAATGACGACCACGAACGGGGACTCCACTACCACTGTCAAGCACCGGGAAGGAGTGGGGCTGATTCGGGCAAAGCCGCCGTCGTTAAGAAGAGAGGAATGGAGGTTGGATCAGTGCTGGGTCAGTTCCGAGAAGGAGCGGTGGGTCTTTTTCTGGAGGGGGAAGCCACCGCGGTGCTTTGCTACCGCTGCCGACGACCTTCGGTCCAGTGAACCAGATCGATGGCCTCCTGCTCCGCCGACGAGCTGTTCTTGAATGATCCGGCCGAGGCGACAGAGGGTGTGCATCAAGTATGGCAACAAGGATCCCAACAAATTTGTAGAGTGTCAAGATCCTAGCAAAACTCGACCAAATAAAAGACGGGCGCAAAGTGAGGGTGTTGCAGAGCCACCATGAGAGAGGGTATTGGTTAGAGAGAGAAAACGTGTGTTTGAGAGAGAGCGTGTGTTGGCTGCCATGGTGGTTGTTTGTTTTAATAAAAATGTTTTTTTTTTTTCTTTTTCTTTCCAATACAAATTGTTGTATTCAAATGATGATTCAACTGATTTAGATATACATGATTACAAAGTGTGTGTGTGGGGGGGGGGGGAATTCGATTGAGAATGTTTGGTTGGAATTAATGGTAAGGGGCATTATGGTCTTTTAGCTTCATAAAGGGTTATATGGTCATTTAAAGAAATTTGGGTTGTCACATGACCCATCATGTGCGTCTTTACGGTCAAATTCAACCGGCTTATCACCGGACGAGGTTAATTACACCAAATTGGTTAGTTCAGGAGGTTATATGCCAAATTAGTAGATCAAGTGGGTTTTTTGCTCAAGTTTATTCCAATTGGCCTCTATCAATTTAATTGAGCATGTAACCAGTATTATGAATATAGTAACATTCTCTAGCCATATCAATTTCTTTCTCCTCATATTTTTCTTCACAAAACAAATACCAAGATAACTACAAATACAACAAACAATATTTTACCACTGAGTGTTTCTTGGGTAATGAGTTATGCAGCAGGACCCAGAACTACAATCAGACAAGCAATTACGTTCCGAAGTTGCACTAATCCCCAAAAATCCCTTAGCCATCTCCCAACAGTATTTCACAATGCCAAGAGTGTATTCTCCAATCCATGAAAGATAATAGCAGTTGCATTCACAATGCTATCCATCTGCACAATCATAAATAAATTTCTAATTGCGCGCATACAATGAAAAAAAAAAAATGAAGCATATATAAAATAGAAACAAGAACTCATTGTGGTTTGACTATTCCCCATATTCAAACCACAATAGTATAACACAAGAGGTCAGTTAACTTCATTGTGGTTTGAGTATTGGTTTCTAACATGACCTCTTGTGCAGACCGGCCTGATCAAGAATGGTATTGCAATTTTGATGATTTTTTAGTTTCTAAGATATCTATACACCACAATCAATTTAGGAATTAGTGAGTATATTTAGCTATATTAATTAGTCAATTTTGATGGTTTTTTTTTGCACTTTATCCTAATATATATATGCATATGCCTGTGTGTGTGTGTGTGTGTTAGCAGATAGAGGTGTAGATTATGTGATAGGAAGAGTGAAAAGAAAAAAAAATTAATAAAGGGCCATTGCGTCTAGTTTGATATTTTGTAATATATCTGAATTTAATATGGAAGGGTAATTTTGACTTTTCATATGTTTTAAGGCTTTGTTTGGATGGAATTTCAAAAAGAGGGGTGTCATTGTTCAAAAAATGAGTAATTTTCATCAGTGTGTCCTTTTGTCAAACTTTAGAGGTGCGACTGTACTTTACCCTTTTTAACATATTGCGTCATGCAAAAGCTTCGTTGTTTGGAATACGAAAATGAATAAATTAACTAACTTGACCGAACTAATGATCCCAATCGAACTTGGAAAGGGATGCTTAAAGGACGCGCAAAAAAAAAAAAAAAAAAAAAAAAAAAAAAAAAAAAAAAACACCCTGCTTTTCCTTAAACTACGGCGTCTAGGAAGCAAATTAACCATAAGTGCCGTTAAGTCTCAACTCTCCCCTTCTCCCTCAACAACTAAGATAGCACTGTGGACCTCTTTTATAGACTAGGTCCTTAGTTTATATTCGATGCTATAGTTTTGATGTAAATAATGAACTTGTAAAGGGCCGTGTAATTCTTTTGATATAAGCCATGCCATGTACTTATTTGAGGGCTCATTAGTATTTCTAAATCCATTTAAGGCCTTAAGGCCATGTTTTTATGTATTCGGACTCGTTGTAATTTTCATTAATGTATTAAGTTCATTATGCTTTAACTAAAGGCATGGAGGTTTATTTATGTTTTATGCTATTGAATCCATATTTTCGGGATAGGTTTATACCATAATTAAGATCATAAATGGACCAAAAGGGATGTCGAGGCCTTACACTAACAAACACAGGTCAAAAAAGGAAAAGAGGGGCAAACCAATCGATGCCTGGAGATTTCATGTTCTGCAGTAGCTGCAGAAGGGCATAAAG